GACGAATATCGCGATACGATAGATATCGCGATATGACGAATATGACGAATATCGCGATATAATGAATGTCGTCAAATGACAGATATCGTTGTATGAAGAGTATCGCGATAAATCGTGACTTTTATTGCGATATCAAGAATATCGCCACGCAATCGTGAAGAGCGTCGCGACGTGAAGAGTGTCGCAGCAGAGCCGCGTTGCTGTACTCGTAACGAAATTGACACGTTCCGTTTACGTCCGCAAACCTTACCGAGTGGCCGTTGTCGGGTGGTGGCGGGTTTAACGACGCAACATTTACACATTTAGGCGATCGAACCCAAAAAACCTCAATTACGGACACCCGCTGAGGCTTGTGGTGCCACGATCGCGGAGCAACTCAACAAGCACCGCGATTCCCTCCTGCTGCTGCACCGTTTACTGTGGGGCGTGCACATATTAACATGTTAATACTCTTATATAAGGGCACAACTTTACCTGCGATGAACGCCGCACTCTCCGTCGTTTTCATGCAGGGGGCGATGCAAACCTTCACGCGCCCACTGCATGAACGACGGAGGCGCAGGGACAGACGTTCGATCGCGTTGGAATCGATCTGCAGACGGCGGTCTTCTCGCACGGCCGGCAGCTCCGTGTCGCCTTGTCTCGATCCCCGCAATCCCAAACGGGTGGAAGTCCCTGACATCCTTGGAGAGCTCTTTGGTCTTGGCCATGGTGGAGAGTTTGGAATCTGATTGATTGATTGTTTCTGTGGATAGGTGTCTTATATACAGGTAACGAGCTGAGATTAGGAGCACTCCCTTTAAGAGTGTGCTCCTTATCTCAGCTCGTTACCTGTATAAAAGACACCTGGGAGCCAGAAATCTTTCTGATTGAGAGGGGGTCAAATACTTATTTCCCTCATTAAAATGCAAATCAATTTATAACAATTTTGACATGCGTTTTTCTGGATTTTTTTGCTGTTATTCTCTCTCACTGTTCAAATAAACCTACCATTAAAATTATAGACTGATCATTTCTTTGTCAGTGGGCAAACGTACAAAATCAGCAGGGGATCAAATACTTTTTTCCCTCACTGTATAAGCTTTTAATAAATAAGTAAAATTATCTAATTCACAACATAATAAAATTCAAAGACGTTTCATTTTAAAACTTCAAAACGGAGCATCGGGTGCTTGCGTGAATGCGTCGTTCATGTGCAATTTTGTTTCTGACTTTCCCGGCCGAAGGCCGTAAATGGTAGTTATTTTTTAACAACCCCCAGTTAAAATATAAAAACCCCCAGTTAAAATATAATCGCCCGCAGGAGCGCGTGTCCGCGCGTCCGCTGTAGTGTTCATTGTGGGGCGTGCGCGTGTTAGAATATAATCGCCCGCAGGAGCGCGCGCGTGTCCGCGCCGCCGGGTCAGCGTTAGGGGTGGTGTGTGCAAGTGAGTGAGGACGAACCCCTGTACAGCGGTAAGCCAGTTAAGCCAGCCATATCTCTCCGAGAGGGCGCTAGCGCGTGGAGGACTGATCACCCGATCGGTGGGGGCCCAGCACGAGCCGAGCGAGGCGGTGGAGGAGGCAGTGGAGGGGGCGAACGTCGCGGCCCCACCTACCCAGCGAGGGCAGGTGGGGCGAACGTCGTTCCCCACAGGCTCCCTCACACACAACGTGATCTAGCGGGCAGCGCGCACACAACGTGATCTAGCGGGCAGCTCGCACACAACGTGATCTAGCGGGCAGCTCGCACACAACGTGATCTAGCGGGCAGCTCACACACAACGTGATCTAGCGGGCAGCTCACACACAACGTGATCTAGCGGGCAGCTCACACACAACGTGATCTAGCGGGCAGCTCGCACACAACGTGATCTAGCGGGCAGCTCACACACAACGTGATCTAGCGGGCAGCTCACACACAACGTGATCTAGCGGGCAGCTCACACACAACGTGATCTAGCGGGCAGCTCACACACAACGTGATCTAGCGGGCAGCTCACACACAACGTGATCTAGCGGGCAGCTCGCACACAACGTGATCTAGCGGGCAGCTCGCACACAACGTGATCTAGCGGGCAGCTCGCACACAACGTGATCTAGCGGGCAGCTCACACACAACGTGATCTAGCGGGCAGCTCGCACACAACGTGATCTAGCGGGCAGCTCACACACAACGTGATCTAGCGGGCAGCTCGCACACAACGTGATCTAGCGGGCAGCTCACACACAACGTGATCTAGCGGGCAGCTCGCACACAACTTGATCTAGCGGGCAGCTCACACACAACGTGATCTAGCGGGCAGCTCACACACAACGTGATCTAGCGGGCAGCTCGCACACAACGTGATCTAGCGGGCAGCTCGCACACAACTTGATCTAGCGGGCAGCTCGCACACAACGTGATCTAGCGGGCAGCTCACACACAACGTGATCTAGCGGGCAGCTCACACACAACGTGATCTAGCGGGCAGCTCACACACAACGTGATCTAGCGGGCAGCTCGCGTGGACGTGGAGTGCCTCCCCTGCGGGTGAGTTTGCGCCTTCAGCAATCCGAGGTTAAAGTCACCACTTGAATGGACACCAAAGATCCCCAGTAAAGACTCAACAGGCTGTCCGGGGCAGGATTGCTGTTAGCGAGTGGCACCTATTGAAGCATCGTGCCCGACCGCCTTTGTCTCCCCAGTGGCGATGTTTACTCCACATCGCCCCGGGTTTACTCGCCTGAGGCCGAGTGGACCTAGGGGAGGCCCAGAACCGGTTTCAGATAATTATCTAAAACCGGTTCTGAAACCGGTGATGCTGGGTTCGGTGACGCTCCCCACACGCACAACAACAATCGCCATTCGCCACTAAGTGGCGGTGACGCCATCACGGCGCCTGTGCCAGGCTAGGTGCACGTTGAGGCCACGTGAAGTGTCGGACGCCATCCGGCAAGTCACGGGGCAGACCCAACATGGGCCACGGGTCGACTGACTGAGGTGACTGCTGGCCGATGGCACCACTTGTTTCACCTACTGTGCCAGGCTAGGTGCACCAGGAGGTCACGGGGCAGACCCAACAGGTGGCACGGGTCGATTGACTGAGATGACTGGCCGATGCACAACCTGTGCCACCTACTGTGCCAGGCTAAGTGCACCAGGAGGTCACGGAGCAGACCCAGCAGGTGGCACGGGTCGATTGACTGAGATGACTGGCCGATGCACAACTTGTGCCACCTAATGTGCCAGGCTAGGTGCACCAGGTCACGGGGCAGACCCAGCAGGTGCCACGGGTCGATTGACTGAGATGACTGGCCGATGCACAACCTGTGCCAGCTACTGTGCCAGGCTAGGTGCACCAGGAGGTCACGGGGCAGACCCAACAGGTGGCACGGGTCGATTGACTGAGATGACTGGCCGATGCACAACCTGTGCCACCTACTGTGCCAGGCTAAGTGCACCAGGAGGTCACGGAGCAGACCCAGCAGGTGGCACGGGTCGATTGACTGAGATGACTGGCCGATGCACAACTTGTGCCACCTAATGTGCCAGGCTAGGTGCACCAGGTCACGGGGCAGACCCAGCAGGTGCCACGGGTCGATTGACTGAGATGACTGGCCGATGCACAACCTGTGCCAGCTACTGTGCCAGGCTAGGTGCACCAGGAGGTCACGGGGCAGACCCAGCAGGTGCCACGGGTCGATTGACTGAGATGAATGGCCGATGTACCACCTGTGCCACCTACTGTGCCATACTTGCTGTGCTTATACGCCCGGCGCTCCGCTCGTTGTTGTGAGCGTTGCTCCTCTGCCCTCCGTTGTTGCCTCGCCACCATGATGATGATGAGAGAGACGCAAACTCCAAATATACAGCAGCAGGCGTCAGGGTCGGAATCGAGCCCACGGCCTCCTGTATACCAGGCGAGGTAGTTAACATCTCGCCACGAGTTAAGGGAATAGCGCGTGAGCCGTGGCGAGTGTGTGGCAGTAGAGCGAAGTGAACTGACGGGCAGTTGTTTTAACGTATCGTCAAGCGCGTAGACATCTGCAAGCATCCTCCACCTGGGCCATCCATGACAGAGTAACCCGCGTTATAACAGGGTTGTTAGTGCTCCTGTAACTAGTGCCGCCCATGCCATTGATTCCACCAGGGCTGTTTGATGTTTAAAAAGTGAGCGACTCGAGGCCTTGGTGTCACCGACTTCCCCCCCCCCCCACCCACAAAACTTTAAAGCAAGGAATACAACAACCACATGGGGCATCTGGCGAGCGAGCCCAGAGGAAACGTGCAGACCCAGATTAAATCCCGTGTGTCACAGGAACCACGTTCAGTGAATCGTACAAGCAGCAGTCCCGTAGGGAAAATGTCCGGTAGGCCAGTACATTCCAATGGCCGGTCTGTGTGTTGGAAACTGCAAATGTAGAGTAAAAATATATATTGTATTCAAATAATGTTGTACCTGTAATGTGAAGGCTTCATTGCTTATTTAAGCTCTCAGTTGCCATTACATCCCCATAGATTCGGCAGCCCCAAAGGAATCTTCTTCACCGGCCACCCATTCGTTTTTTGGACCTAGTCCAAATGGGCCAATGAAATCGCACGGCAAAATCAAGCCAATCTGTCACATCGCAAATCTAGTACTACAGTTTGTCATCGCACAACACATTTCAAAAACATAAATAATTGCCCATGGCCCGAATTTGAGCCGGTGTGTTTATAAATGCCTGGGCCGAATTTTAGTCCCAGTCTGTCGTCAGTGCATACAAGTCGGAAACCACGGCAGCCAAGCATCTCGAGCCGCGGTAGGATTGAGCTGCATGTGGGCGGGTCGTCCTTCTGTTGCCTTACCTTTCAAATTGTCATCCTGCACATACACAGCGAGATGTACAACGCAGATAAAACAAGACACAAATAACGCAAGTCTATTTAAGAAAATAGCTAAATATATTTTATTAATTTGAAAAACAAAGACACATGTTTTGTAATATTAATTGTAAATACCTGAATTTGAAACACCAAAGAATTTGGACAAACTAAATCAAGAACAAACGTGTTTATTTACAAATACAGACATAAATTACATTTAATATTATTCCTGTGAATAAATACTCAAGTAAAATGCAAATAAATCCAGAGTTTCTTCAACATGACATCACATAAAGGTGAAGAAGAGTTGTGGCAACGACGCTGTACTGAAACTAAAATTTTATTTTATTTTACCAGGTAAGGCCCCCTGAGCTATATAGCCCTTTTTGAGAAGCGACCTGGCCACAAATGATAGCTCAAAGAAGTGTCTGATAACGTGGAAATGTATAGCAGCCAAATACTCTAAACGCATGTTGAGTCCAAATGTGGAAGCAAAGACCGGAGAACACAGAGAAAAATCCACGCGATCCACGGGGAGAACGTGCACACTCCAAATATACAGGCGTTGGGGTCGGGATCGAAACCCACAACCTGCACAGCGGGCGAGGCAGCTGACATCTCGCCACCGTACTGGTTTCATTTGGAGTCTTCACAGCCTCGTCGTGCCGCGTGTGGGGTGGTCGTAGCGCGAGCCGTGGCCGATGGCGACGCGTCGGGGTTGAGGGAGGCTCGCAGCGTGCCGACGTCACGTGCTCGCCGGCGGTGCGGTGCCCTCGACGAGCCGTGACGCCCACCGTTCCACGTGATTCGTAATGCCTCGTCGACACCCGTTATACGACCAACTATCTGCGGAAATCGGAAACCTGACACAAAACCCGCCCGAATCTTGACGTTATTTTGTTTCACGAGATGTGCTTGGAAATACGTACATTGAAATGTATTTCTTGAAAAAGTAAATACTTAGAATAATACATTTAAAGTGCATAAAAAAAGTCCATAAAAAAACATGAAAAATGGTAAGAGATGCAGACAAAAGGATATATTTAAATACATTTTCACAATAAATAATTAAAGAAGCAGACATTCTGCAGTAAGTGTGCACACAGGAGGTTCCATGTGGAAGCACAAGAGTTCACTCCCAGAGTGGACACTGCTGCACGAGACGGGAAGATCGCGATGTGCCGAGAGTCTAAATGTAATCACATCACAAGTCGCTACACACGGAAGAGGGGAAGGAGGGTCGAGAGCCTGGCCTCGTTTAGGGGAGGGAGGCAGTGCTACAGTGGCGAGATGTTAACTACCTCGCCCGGTACGCAAGAGGTCGTGGGTTCGATCCAGATCCTGATGCCTGCTGTATATTCGGAGTTTGCGCGGCAATCTCCCTGTGGTCATGTGGATTTTTCTCCGGGTTTTCCCCTCCACGTTTAGAAACAAGCGTTGAGACTACTTGGCTGCTATACATTTCCACACGATGATAAGCCACTTTGTTGAGCTATCATTTGTGGCCAGGTCGCTTCTGAAAAAGAGCTACACAGCTCAGTGGAAGCTTACCTGGGAGGGGGGGCAGCAGAGGGGCGGAGTGGCAACCACCTCAGACACAAGAGTTAAACACAAGCCGGACTCTATCTTCATTCACTCTTGTTTCCTATGGGTTCGATCGTGCATGTGTAATGCGAATGTTTAACTAGAGCCCTCCATCAACCCGACAAAGCGAATCAAATCAAGTTATCAAGAGGGTAAGTTGATTTGGTTTGTGAACAACACCCGGAATGTGGAAAGGCAAGCAACATTTTGACAATTTATATGCGACGCTTCGCTGGAGAATACTGCAACAGCTACCATCACCAGCTGTTAGCAAGAGTTCAGATCTCGCGTGAATGAGCTTCCTGAACAAGATCCTTTAGTAGGTGCAATGACGTTTTCGCCAGTCAAGCACATCATCTAGTTTAATCATTGGAGTTGCTTTCTGGCTGACTGGTTCGAGTGGTCCAATACGGTGAATCTATTTAGCTGACTGTTCCATGAACACTTATGTCAATGATAACATTGTTTGTAAAAATTACCTGGACAATCTTCTTTGGTTCTTTCGGTAAAGTCACGTAGAATGAGAATAAAATAATAAATAGTTAAAATAAAATAACACAATAATATTCCCAGGACGTTCCGGCCACAACACAAGCGGCCTTCATCAGGTGGAGGACAGACAGTCTCGTCCCTTCACCTGATGAAGGCCGCTTGTGTTGTGGCCGAAACGTCGTGGGAATATTATTGTGTTATTTTATTTGATCAATTTATTATTTTATTCTCATTCTACGTGACTTTACCGAAAGAACCAAAGAAGATTAATCCTTGCAGTCACGAAAGCTTTAAATCGATACCTGGACAATATATCAATAATTCTACAATGGTGGAAATTGTAAAATCTGATATATAAATATCGTAATGTAAGTTTATATAAAATAGCTCAACTTCGAATGGAAATATCACGATTTATGGACAGTTGCACAATGTTTAGCAGTAAACAGTGCAAAATGTGCAGCGGTCAGCCGTGCGCGCTCACGCCCCAACCTCTTGCCGAGGGCGGCCGCCCGCTCCCTGCTCGCTGCTCCCTGCTCGCTGCTGGTGCAGCTCTCTCTCCCGCTGCACCTCGCTCTGCAGCTGCGTCTCCCTGGCCTGCGACGCTCCCAGCTGTTCGGCGAGACGCCACACCTGCTCGTCCTGCGAAGACGACGACCCCGCTCGTGAATATCCCGCGCGCACGTCAATGCAGATCCAGTCCGACATTTGTTATGAAGAACAGAGCGGCACATGAAAGCTGCGTTCTCGCGCAACCGTGCCGTGTGCGGGCATGCAGCAGCTGCGGGGGCACTATGCTGTTGGTGAGGATCGAGGTAGTGGCGATGGTTTTCACTCCCGCATTCAGGGCCAGATAAACTTAGTTGTAGTTAATAAGCAATGGATTTAAAAACTCACTTAAGACCACCATGGTACCCTTATGGCTCACTGGGCATCGATGCTCTACAAATTTGATGTTAAGTTAAATGCCGCCCGTACTCAACATCTCTCGTTATACTCCAGCACTTACTCTACTCTTCGGTCCCAAAGTCGTAACAGTTGTGTGTGCGCACCGTACATGCGTAGTACGTCTATTACGTGTTGCTGTGTGTACGTGAGTGTATACGTGTGTAATGACATGATGACACCTGCTGGCTGGGAAAGGGAGGCGCGGGTACGGGCACCACTAAGACAACATCCAATCCGAAAGGGAGAGGTATCTGGGGCAAAGGTCATAGGCAGGGGGGGGGGGGGGGGTTGGCCGAGATGCTCCGGGAACCTGCTCGAAGGTTCCACGATAGGGCGTGGCCGGAGGCGGAGCCTAGCCGCGCCTGGGGAGATATAAGCGGGGGGCGGACCCGGGGCTCGGGGTTCGTGTGCGGGGTCTTGGGTCCGGACCGCGTCGCCGCTCGCCGTCATCTCTCTCCGTCGTCCGCCCACGTGGAAGATCTTCTGCGGGGCTTCCATCGCCACCCTCGTCACGCCGCCAGCCAGCGGCCGAGCGAGGGCGGTGGGACCGCGCCGAGTGATCGGCCGTGTGTGTAGCCAGTAGAGACGTTAATGTCTAAGTGTTGTACTCAGAGTGAGAAGGTTCAGGTTGGCCTGTGTTGTGCCCGTGTAAGAAATAAAAGAAGCACCCTCGACACGACGTGTCGCGGAAGTCGCTCATGACACATGTATACATTGGGGAGCGGTAGTGTGGCGGTTAGCGCGCTGCGCTACGGACCCTTGGTCCCGAGTTCGATTCCCGCTCCCGAACAACATCAGTGACGATTATCTGGACCGGTCCTGGGCCCCCCCTATGTCGACTCAGCCTCAAATGAGTACCTGGTGCGGTGTGTAAACATCGCCACTAAGGACAAAGAGGCGACCGGGCGAGTGCTGGCCACCCACCCCCTCGTGTGCCGTGCCGGTCTTCATAGTGCTCGCGAACAGCACTTGTCCTAACAGTCTTTTAAAGGATATACGGGGGATTTTTGTATGCATTACGTGTGCGCTACATGTTCATCAACCGACATCCCGGCAGACTCCCCTTGCAAACGAGGCGTTCCATCCCAAGGGGATTTTTTTTCACGTTAAGTGTGTTTTTTTTTAATCGCTGCGTGCCTTCTCTCTGTTGAGGCTCTCCCTCTCCTCGAGCTCCTGGTGGAGTCGTTCCACCTCCCTCTGCAAGTCGACGAGGCGGCACTCAAACCCATCCGCGCGGGCGCGCAGCTGCAGGCAAACCTGGTGGGAGACGTGCCGAGCGTTTTTATTGTTATTATTGTTCCTCCGCCCGTTTACCCAGGAGGGCATCGCCGAGTCTCAAGACTTTTTCAAGAAGCTCCTGCCAATTTTTCGCCGCAGCGTGCCACGTTGCTACGTGCATAAGCCCAGTGCCGTCATTTGCAGGGAACGTTTCCACATTTCGGATGTTTGGCCAATACCGGTTACATTATATGACTGTTGTAGTTATGGGAGGAAACTGGGGAATCCAGAGGAAACCCATGCAGAACAGGGGGAGAACATACATTCTCCACACACTATCACTCCCACTGCAGAACAGGGGGAGAACATACATTCTCCACACACTATCACTCCCACTGCAGAACAGGGGGGAGAACATACATTCTCCACACACTATCACTCCCACTGCAGAACAGGGGGAGAACATACAATCTCCACACACTATCACTCCCACTGCAGAACAGGGGGGAGAACATACAATCTCCACACACTATCACTCCCACTGCAGAACAGAGGGAGAACATACAATCTCCACACACTATCACTCCCACTGCAGAACAGGGGGAGAACATACAATCTCCACACACTATCACTCCCACTGCAGAACAGGGGGAGAACATACAATCTCCACACACTATCACTCCCACTGCAGAACAGGGGGAGAACATACAATCTCCACACACTATCACTCCCACTGCAGAACAGGGGGGAGAACATACAATCTCCACACACTATCACTCCCACTGCAGAACAGAGGGAGAACATACAATCTCCACACTATCACTCCCACTGCAGAACAGGGGGAGAACATACAATCTCCACACACTATCACTCCCACTGCAGAACAGGGGGAGAACATACAATCTCCACACACTATCACTCCCACTGCAGAACAGGGGGAGAACATACACACGCCACACTGAAAGGCGCCCGAGTTGGAAATTGAACCCAGGCCCTTGTTGCTGTGAGGCGCCGAGTGTCACCACTGCGCTTCCACCCTCCCAGCCTTAATGAGCATCTGGTGCGGTGTGTAAAAACATCAGCGCTGGGGAGACAAAGGCAGCTGGATGTGGTGCAGCTGGCCACCCACCCCCTTCGGGTGCTCTACCGACCTTCATAGGTGGCTCGCTAACAGCACTTGCCCCGACAACGGTCTTTTAAAGGTTACATGGGCGATCTTTGTCTTTGTACCTCACGTAGGCTTGTCAGTGCCTGAGACTTCTCCTCTGACTTGGCCTGCAGGGTGATGACCAGCGCACGGTTCTTCTCACCTTCCGCCGTCTGCTCCTTCAGCTTGGTGTTCAGCTGCTCGCACCTCGTCTCCATCTGCAAAATCTTTGAGGAGCAAGATTGGAAGAGAGTGACGTTGGCAAGCATGGTGGTGGCAGAAGTCTTGGTGTCAGCCTGAGCTCACGTTATCTTTGGTGCTGCCGCTGCAACTGGTATTTTATTTAAGTGCAACATTTTCATTAAACATCTCTGCCGGACTTCTATTAGTCCCCAGGTGAAGTGGTAATTTGGATGGATTCAGGTGACGTTTTCTAGGGTGATCAAAGAACGAGTGCCGAAGTTGACTTTACAAGAAAACGCTTTGACTGACGGTAAATTGTGCAATTCCTCCGTCTCAGCCTAGGATCGTCAGCAGCCCAGGTTTCACACGGACAGTCCAATAATCGATATCCGTGTTTGGGTGGCAGGAATCGATTTGTACGGAGGCATGGTGCCGGTATTGTGTTAAAAACGCATCACAGGATACCGCACAGTTGTTAATAGGCCTAGGCTGACTGAGAAATCCGAGTAGGGTTGGTTGGCTATGCAAGAGGCAGCAACCCTAACTGGGCCGCAGTGAGTAGGACAAGCACCTGAGTAAAGTACCACGGGTGCCCTGAAGAGGTCAGAGGGGAAAACTCGGCAGCGGAAAGGGGCCGGCGTCCAGTGGAGAGACGCAAGGATTTACGGCGGGCTGTGTGGACGGGACGAGCAAGTGGGCGCGCGTTCCACGCTCTAGCCTCCCGGTGTGTGGGACACCCCTCCCCGTGAAGTCCACGGAGCCCAGAGACCCAGCATTGCTGGGTAACCCTCCCGAGTGCGTCTCTGCCGGAACATGCGTCGGATAGAAGCCACGGGATGTCTCCTCTTGAGAGAACTTGGGTGTAAGAATAGGTTTTACCCTTTTAACTGGCACAAAAACTGACACCTTTATTCAAGGCATCATGTTTGCAATAACCACAACACAAGCAGTCAAAATGCAAACAAAAAAGACAACTCTGATAATAATATGCACTGTCCTTGAATTTGATTGGTCCACACCCGAGACGGCTTTTCTTAGAGCCTAGTCTCCATTGGTGTTGGACCAGTCAAATTCAAGGACAGTGCATATTATTATCAGAGTTGTCTTTTTTGTTTGCATTTTGACTGCTTGTGTTGTGGTTATTGCAAACATGATGCCTTGAATAAAGGTGTCAGTTTTTGTGCCAGTTAAAAGGGTAAAACCTATTCCTATATCTTGTTACTGGCAAAGGAGGTCTCATAAAGAACTCGGGTGGTCAATGAATAACACTTCATGAGGAAGCCAACAGGGTTTGTCATACGGATAGATCCGCTCCCATCTTAGGAATGTGGAATTTCCACCACAGGCACAGGGCTATAAACAAGAGATGAGCACTAATGCCACAATTTGAGCAGGAAATCACTTTGGCCTTGTCTCTCATCATCAAGAGTGGCTGTTAAGAACTAAAGAAAGTGTCCTTGCTCTTTTAACATTATGCTGAAAGCAATCTGCGTGGTTAAGTACGACGTGGCCTCGCGGATGCGGAGCACGCGGTGTCTGCCGGCGCCACGTGGGGGTGAGAGACGTGGAGCGGGAGATGTGGAGTGGGAGATGTGGAGCAAGAGATGTGGCGCATGAGATGCGGCGCATGAGCGGTGCGAGCTCGTAAATGACGCGGCCCTTGAGCTCGTGTCGGCTGTCAGTGCCAGCACCTGCTCCTCTTTTGCGTCCACCTCCGTGCGGAGCGACACCACCTGCTCGCTCACTCGCCCCTCCAGCTCCGACAGCTGTAGGGCACACACACAGACGCGCGCGTCGCCGTGGGGAGCTGCTCGCCGCGCGCGTCTCAACCGCGTGGTCCGACAATCATGACCTCTATTTGAATGAAAACATCTAATGACAAGCCACTACATTAAATGTCATTAATGATTATGCTTGGCATACCCAGAAAAGCCCTACTGAGTCTTACTGAGGCTCTTGTTAAGTTTTCGCACGAGATTTGATCTAATTTTGTTTAAGCAGGCGAAAATTGGTGAAACAAAAAGAGACCAGGATAGATTCTCATTTGCAATCGTGGCCTGGGCTACCAAACTGACTAAAGCAAAACTAAAGAAAGTATAGCACTGAAACGAACAGAAATCAGGGCAAAAGCAACAGTGTCACATGAGAACTCGACATATATTACACGATCATAAATCGATGTGAAATAATGTATTCCCTGTAGCGTAGGGTGCAATGTTGTAATGTTTAATCCAAAGTGAGTTATTTGCAGGTAATTTTTCAACATTGAAAAGTTTGGCCAAATCTATTTACTGTACATTGTATGTTTTTAACCTGAAGGAAACCCATGCAGAACACGGGGAGAACATACAGCAATAGCTGCTATTTTAACCATGAAGTGGCGGTGACATCACCACGGCACCTGTGCCAGGCCAGGTGCACTTTGAGGCCACATGATGTGTCGAAGGCTCGCTGACAGGAGGTCAAGGGACAGACCCAGGCGCCATTGGTTGACTGATTGAGATGACTGGCAGATAGACCGGTTGTGCCCTCTACTGTGCCAACGTGCTGGATTTTAGCCGCCCGGCGCTCCGCTTGTTGTTGTGAGCATTGCTCCTCTGCCCTCCGTTGTTGCTGGAAAGCGACCGCCTCCAACTGCCAAGTAGCAGCGTCCTTCACGAGCCTCTTCTACAGAAGCCGACCTCGACACCGCTGGGACCAGTTATTGGCTCCATCTATCCAAACACTCCGATTCATCCGCTTACAATCTGTAGTCCAGGGGGAGTCATATGAACACTAAGAGGCTGCCCCGCGTTGTTGGCGTTGTGCAGCTGCAGCACGTGTACCTGCGTGGCTCTAGCGATGAGCTCCCGTTGGCGCTCCTCCAGTTCCACTTGCAGCTCCTCCACCTCCCGCTCCCTCTCGCGCAGGGAGCCGCGAAGCTGACTAGCGGCACACAGAACGCAGCGCCGCATTGCACCACCTCGCACCCTCACACCACGCCACCTCTCACCACGCCACCTCTCACCACCACGCTACCTCTCACCACGCCACCTCGACACCACGTCACCACTCACCACCACGCCACAACCTATGGAGTGACTCATGCTGCCAGCTATGGCCGAAAAGTTTGGACGTACACGTTATGTATATCGTTTATTGTTAAATTTGAATCACTGTTCCTATGATTACTGTCACATTGCTTTTATAGCTTTATTTTGCTGTTTTCGAAAACATATGGTTAAGCCATGTTTCTTGTGGAAGTGCGGAGTTGGCCTGATAACTTTAATAAAAATTGTCTTATGGTTGTTATTGTTTGACTTGCATCACACTGGGATTTTTGCACACAGCGTTGTAATACGGTGGGTTTTTTTTCTGGAAGATTTGCTGGTTCATCCAGGATGTTTCTGTTGCGCGTCGTCACTTTAAGATGTTCTTTTGTTTGTTGCGGTTGCACCTGAGTCAAGAGCCGCATGGCTCACAGGGCTATACCTAATAAATGAAACTGAAACCTCACCACCACGCCAACTCACCACCACGCCACCTTACCACCACGCCACCTCACTACCACGCCACCTCACCACCACGCCACCTCACCACCATGCCACCTCACCACCATGCCACCTTACCACCACGCCACCTCACCACCACGCCACCTCACCACCACGCCACCTTACCATCATGCCACCTCACCACCACGCCACCTCACCACCACGCCACCTCACCACCACGCCACCTTACCATCATGCCACCTCACCACCACGCCACCTCACCACCACGCCACCTTACCATCATGCCACCTCACCACCACGCCACATCACCACCACGCCACCTTACCACCATGCCACCTCACCACCACGCCACCTCACCACCATGCCACCTCACCACCACGCCACCTTACCACCATGCCACCTCACCACCACGCCACCTCACCACCACGCCACCTCACACCACCACCACAAACCCATGACCAATCATCTGCTCTGTCTTTATAACAATAACCACACAACCGATTTAGTTTTTAGAATTTCTACCTGGAACCAAACCAAATGCTCGTTCGCTTGCCAAGCGTCTCAACATCCATGCAAGTGGTTCCGCTGGGTCGGTGGCGACCGGCAGGCGACGTGAAAAAACGTCGCCTTGCAAGGCCGCACCCCCCCCCCCCCCGCGCGCTCCCCCACCCCCCTCACCCGTGACTCTCCGCCATCGAGTGCAGCCGCCTGTCCCTCTCGTGCAGCTCCGCGTGCAAGCGCCGCTCCGTGGTACGGAGCTCCGTGCTCAGCTCTGCGGCCGCCAAGCGCTCGCGCTGCAGCTCGGCCCGCGCCCGGCCCAGCTCCTGCTCCGTGTCGCCCGCCTGCTGCAGGCCGCGTGCCAGGCTGTCCTGCAGCTCCGCTGCTGCGGGGGGGGGGAGGCGGGGGGCACGTCCAGGACGACGATCGTCCCCACCCTGTTGAGACGGTGCCCACCGCCCCCCCCCCCCCTCCTCGCCAATCAAGGCCACGTGTCCCCGCCCCCATCCCCACTCACGTGTGAGTGCGCGTCGAGCATCGCCGCGTCTCGATGCCATCACTGGCGGGGAACCGGTGGATCGGCTTTGCGGCCCCTTTGAGATCCCACGGGCCACAGTGAGATTCTGCGTATGCCCAAAGTGCATGGATTTATTTAAGCCGTGACGGTTAAAGTCACGGACACTGGGGGGTGAACCGGTGGCGCAGTGCCATGTGCACTGCGCCACAAACTTGAAAACCTTAGTTCCATTCCTGGTCACAGCTAACTAGGTCGATGAGGGATGTCCGAACCGGTCTTGGCATCCCCGTTTACTGGCCCGCGATGACCGGTGCGGTGAGTCATGCTGAACAGGAGCTCCCGCCAGGTGCTGGCGCCCACCGAGCTGTGTCTTGTGACGGAGCTCGTTCTCGGCCTGCTTGAGCGTCGCCAGCAGAGACAGCGCCCGCTCGCCCTCCCGGCTGCCCTTCTCCCTGGCGCTGCCCAGCTCGGCGCGCGCCCTCGCCACCTCCTCCTGGCCGTCATGCACGGCCGCCTGCAGCTCGCTGCCAGGGGCGAGAAAAACCCCGTGAGCCCCCAGAGGCCACGCCGCTCTCGGCTTGCGCGCAGCACGTAGCCCCCGTGGCATCTTGCTGTGCGTGTGCGAAAGCAAACCTCAAGCGGATACAGAGTTATCCAACGTGACAGACACACGCGCCCAACGTTAAACGATGTGGAGTTCGCACAAACTGTGGACCAGCTGGCTCAAAGTTAAGTTGCCGATGAGAGTGGCACAGTGATGACAATCGTGCCACACAACAAGAAGCTCCTAGGTTTGATTCCCGCCTTTCTGTGTGGAGTTCTCCTCCTGTTCTGTAAGCGTTTCCTCATGCAATGTAACCGTTATTGCCCAAAATATTCGAAAATACTGAAACATTACCTGCAAATTACTCAGTTGGAATTACACGCAGAAACATTGCCTCCTACTGAAAAAAAGGATCCCAGGCAAAAGAAAGTCTTGAGATGTAAACAATGAACGATTATAAACTATTATCACGTGAAAATGTAGGGCAGCCAGATACTCTAAACGCGTGGCGTTGATTCTAAATGGGGAGGGAAAAACCGGAGAGCCCAGAGAAAAATCCACGTGACCACGGGGACAGAGACATTCAAACTCGAAATATACAGCAGGGGTCAGGGTCGGGATTGAACCTACGACCTCCTGCATAGCAGGCGAGGTAGTTAACATCTCCTAGCCACCGTACTGGTTTCATTCGGAGTCTTCACGCCTCGCCGTGCTACGTGTGGGGTGGTCGTAGCGTGAGCCGTGGCCGCCTGGCGACGCTTCGGGGAGAGAGGGCCACAGCGTGCCGGCACCCACGGTGGTGAGGCTTCCTGGGCGAGCGCTCGCGTGCGACTCGAGTCGAGCCAGACTCCCCAACCTGACGCTGCTGGCGAGGGTGGCTCCGCGCTCCCTCTCCTCGTGGAGCTGGCTCTGCAGCGAACGCTGCTGCTTCGCGCTCTGCTCCCGCTCGCCGCGCGACTGCTCACGCTCCGCGTGCAGACTCTGCTCCAGGCCGCACACCTGCCCACACACGTCACAGCCGCGCACGCCCACGCGAGGGAGAACCAAGAAGGGAACCGTTGCAGAACAGGCAGAGAACATATAAGCTCCACGGAGAGAGGTGCCCGAGTTAGGAATCGAACCCGGGCTCTTCTTCCGGCGAGGCAGGAGTGTGACCACTGTGCCACCAAGGGTCACAACCGTAGTGCCCGATGTGCTATCGGGGGAGTGGCCCGTAACTCTGGTGATGCCCAAACCGTCAAACGCATCGCCGACGAGCGTGCCCATCCACGCACATCCTCGCAGCATTGCTGCCATCCATGCAGCGTCTCCCACCTGGGATTGGTTGTGTGTATTGTTTAACTTCTTTCGCACCGTACGTAGCCAACAGTGCTAAATGAAGGCGAGTGGTTGGGGTGCCGCGGTGGCAAGATGTTTACTCCCTCGCCTGGTATGCAGGAGGTCACGGGTTCGATCCCGATCCTGACACCTATTGTATATTTGGAGTTTCTGTATTTGGCTGGTGTAAATTTCCAAGTGATGAGCCACTTCTCTGAGCTATCATTTGTGGCCAGGTCGTATCTGAAAAAGCGCTACGTAGCTCAGTGGGGCCTTAGTAGATAATGGTGGGGGGGGGGACCTTAAAATGTAACTATGACTACTATAAAAACCGTTGCTTTTTCCCCCCACCCCACCATGCCATACGAAAGATAGAAAGCGACAAGAGAGAGTGTCTCCCGCAAAGAGCGAGGGGGCACTCCACCTGCGTCTGCAGCTGCGCTTGCGCCTCCTCCAGCGCCTCGACGCGTGCGGCGCCCAGCGCCAGCATGGTGTCGCGCTCGCACAGCGCTCGCCGCAGCTCCGCCGCCTGCTCAGCCGCGTCGGCCACGGCGCCGTTCAGCAGCTCCAACTACGCACGCACGGAGTCACGAAGATCACCACACACCGCCACCACCCACCCCCCCACCACGCCCCACGCCCCACGCCGTAGAGCCTTTGCACAGACCGTTCGTGAGCGCCCATTAAGAAGGCCTCACTCATTATACATGGTTTAAGGGTCGCACTCGTTACACACGAAGTGCTCGTCACAAATGAACCACAACACGTTGCTGATCTCGTCAAGGAACTCCGGTCATCCTCGCGGCACCTTTGAGGCTGGCCATCGAGCAAAGAGAGTCACTGCTTCGCACGCTTTCGTATGCGCTTCTGCGGCCGTCTAGAACGCTCTTCCTTCCGATATAAGGAAGCAACTGGAACTATGCACTTTTAAATAATCTAGATTGAAAACAAATTTCTTTAGAACTGCTTTTTGTGTTTAGTTTGTTCTTCCCCCGCACCTCCGATTGGCACGGTTGGCTACGTACGGTGTGAAAGAAGTTCAACACACGTATAAACATATGAGTATGGGTCTCTGTGGGTCTTCATGGTTACATACGAGTCATTGGATCTCTGTGGGTCTCTATGGGTCTCTTCCTTCCAATATTAGGAAGTCACTGGAGCAATGCATTTTAAAATCAATATTGAAAACTCATGCTTTCTGTGTTTAGTTTGTTGTCCTTCCCCCGCACCTCGATTAGCACAGTTGGCTACGTACGGTGCGAAATAAGTTCAACATATAACGACACGGAACACGTGAGGGTCGGTGGCCAGATATTTATATACCCGCACCAGGTACTCATTTAAGGCTAAGTCGACCATCAGGAAGGGCCAGGACCGGCTCAGATATTCATCGCTGATGGTGGCCGAGCGGAATCAAGCCTGGGTTGCCGGGTGCAGAACGCACTGCGCGAAACCACCATCCCACCACTCCCCATTCACACACCAATACAGGGTGCTTAAAAAAATGTTCATACTTACGTGGGACTGTCGTTTTTAATGGAAAAAGAACGGATAATACACTGTAACATGATAACAAATGTATGTTAATATCTTCAAAAAGTCCGAGACTCGCCATCGTTGTCAACACATTCCCTGAATCTTCTCCACGTGGTCTCCAGTGCCCGGAGGCGGCACATTTCACGTGGTATTGTTGCAAATTCTCCGGAGTGTTCACATTTTTTTCAAGCACCCTGTATATGCCGACTATTGTACTCGTACAATAGTCGGCATTACCGGGTTATGAACATACACATCACGCAGGCGATTTACCGGAATGATCACTCATAAGGGTGAGATCTGGAGCATCCTCCTCTTCTGCAAGCAGGAGGAGGATGACGAGTTGTTTTGACATGGAGAGATCTGCACAAAGCGCAACGATTCCTCCAGCTTCCCGATCGCACAAATTCTTCCGTGGGTGCGATACGCAAAGTTGCACACGTCTGTCGCCATCCGCTCACCTGCTCCATCTTGGCGCGTAGTTCTTGCTGCGCCTGCTGCAGCTTCTCTTGGCAGCGCACACGCTCCGCCTGCTTGGTCGCAAGTTCAGACTCCATTTCCAGAGCCTCGAGGAAAGGGATGTAAACATTTAGATTTGAGGTTTCCGCAGCCTTGGTTAAAAATTCATATTTCAACTTAATTGGCGTGTGAATGTACTTCATCATTTGTCTGCTGCTGTTGCTATTATACAGACTGCTGCTGCTGCTGTACAGACTGCTGCTGTTGCTATAAAGACTGCTGCTGTTGCTATACGACTGCTACTGTGGTAATACATACTGCTACTGTTGCTATACAGACTGCTGCTGCTATACAGACTGCTGCTGTTATACAGACTGCTGCTGTTACACAGATTTCTGCTGCTGTTATACAGACTGCTGCTGTTACACAGATTGCTGCTGCTGCTATACAGACCGCCTTTATCTTCTCTCCCATAATAAGCTCAATAACACGGGAGTAATATCAGCCCTCGAATAATATTTCGGATTTTATTTGTAAAAAATATATATAAAGAGAAAGCAACACATTCAAGTTAAAACTGTCACATGTAACTGACGTAATAACACCACACAGACGTCGTCACGTCACGGATGGACGACAACCTCTCGACGCCGAGTTGGTCACAGGGGTTTTGTGACCATACTTCTCCACTGGACAGTCAGTGTGAATGGCGAAGGAAACCGAACTCGGGCTGCCGAAAACTTTAATACTTTATTATCACACTTCTACGGGGAAGTTACCGTTGTAATTATGTGTAAGATGTGCCCTTTTTTGAGCTGCCGTTTTGTATTTACAAGAGGTGGTCCTTTTTTGAGCTGCCGTTTTGTATGTGTAAGATGTGCGTGTTGAGCTGCCGCTCTCGCTCTGGCCCCTCCCCCCCTCCAACCGTATTTCCTATTTAAGCTTCTGTTCATCCCTCCCCCCCCCCCTCTCTCTCTGCCTCCCTGTCCGTCTTTCCTCCCTCCTTACCTCTTGGTGGACTTGTATATGTATTTCTACTGACCGTGTACCTCGTATTTTTCATTCTATCTATGCTGGTATGTGCAATCGAAAGGTTGAACACGAAATTTAACACTTCTGAAATTCGTGGTCCGCCAGGAAGTGTCTAACTGTGTTGTTGGCCTGACTGGATGTGCTTCACATAATGTTTTTTCAGGTTTGTTGAATTCTCGTCTCTCATCTTTTTGTTGTATTTACCTTCGTGATTTGTTCTTGACACCTGATGAAGATCGCTTGCGTTGTGATCGAAACGTCGTGATTGTTTTTTGTTTTAATATAATTTTATTATATTTCTACATACTTGACTTTATCGAAAAAAAACGATGAGTAATTTCATGCAGTCACGAAAGCTTTAATACTTTATTAAGTTCAACATGCATACATCAACATACCTTGGCGGAAGCGTCCGCGAGCTTGCGCTCCGCCAGGCCCAGCGCCTCCTCACTGCTCCCCCGCTGCCTCCTCGTGTCCTTACCAGGGGCACCATGCGCACACGTTACCACCAACTCACTCCGCTTTTACCAAGGGAGCTTACAAACAGTAACAGCTATTTATTTTTGGTAATACAGAGTGCTTCAAAAAATGTTAACACTTATATGTTAATAGCTTCAAAAAGTCAAAGAGTTTCCCACTTGTGCGCCATCGTTGTCAACACGTGGCCTGGAATCTTCCCCAGGTGGCCTCCAGAGCCCGAGGGCACATTTCTTGTGGCGTTGTTGCAAATTCCCGGAAGTGTTTACATTTTTTTGAAGCACCCTGTATATATGCATAGAAAAGGTATTGTAAACATTGCTTACTCTCAACCGAGTCGCAGACGGACTCTTTCGAGGCAACACATTACAAAGGGTTAACTGCCCCTTCACCAGATAACAACCTACGGTGGTGGACCACCGGGCTAACTACACGAATTACACCGTAACTAGCTACGTAACCACCGGGCTAACTACACGAATTACACTGGGAGTAGCTACAACAGACAGGACCCCAGCTTGGGTCCAGGTCCACTCTTCTCGGACGTAGAATGTAGATTCTTCAGGATAACCACAGCAACGCTGAACCCCGTGTCCCTCTGGGGACCCGGTTTGTATCCTCACTGGTCGTGGCTGGCTCCGCCCTTGGCCACGACCACCTTCTCAAACCCTCTAGCAGGATCTCGCCCTGACACGTGACCACCCCTAGCCCCCACTTAGGGCCCCTGTGTAGATCTTACCCGTCACGTGCCTTCCAGGGTCAACCAGAGTGCCATGGCCTTCATTAACCCCATTCATGGCCGGCACCCTCACACCCCCCCCCCATAGGGGACAGCACTGCACGCCGAGCGTGGTGCCACTTGGCGCTCTCTATCAGCGCTCACCGAGCCCCTCTAGGGTTGGTACTACACCCACATGTACGGGTGTCCGCGATGGCAATACATCGCACGCCGTGCCTCGCTAGAGCCGGCATTACCCAGTGACATCCACGATGTCGCTACATACGTATTTATACTGGAGCAATCCGATGAGCTGCAATGCTCTTTTTCACAGATGTCCAGTAGGGGAACGGGGTGGGAACGTTAACACGAACAATTCAAAAACACGACAGGAGACCAATACGTTAAAGTGACACGCACGCGTAACACGGAAAACCACAGATGGGCAGGGAAGGTAGCCAGGAGCAGCGCCAAGCATTTGCCCAAGCTCTGCGGCTCTACTTCCAGATGTTTGGCGTGGGAGGAAACCGGGACACCCGACGAAAACTCACGCGTGCGAGGGGGGCAACATTCCATCCCCCATACAGGTGGAGCAAGTGGAGGTCATAGTTTATATTCTGCTTTCTCCTGGCGTGCCAGAGTACAGTCCCTCCCCAACGCCCATGGGAAGGGAGTTTCACAACATCTGAGTGATTCACCAACATTCGCTGCGGCTTCCAGTGCTGGATTACAGGCGTGCGCCACCACTGCCCAGTGGATCGAATCATGCGCATGAGAATCAATAATTCATTATTTCTGTAAGTGATATGCAACACAAATCTGCCAATGTTGGGGGTTAAACGGCTACAGGTGCCGCGGTGGTGATTTGTTAACTCCCCCGCCCGGTGTGCAGGTCGTGGGTTCAATGCACACCCTGACCCCTGTATATTTAGAGTTTGCATGTCTCTCTCCCTGTAGTCGCGTAGATTTTTCTCCGGGTACTCCAGTTTTTCCCTCCACATTTGGAAGAAACACGCGTTTAGAGTATTTGGTTGCTATAAATTTCCACACGATAAGCCACTTCGTTGCGCTATCATTTGTGGCCAGGTCGCTTCTGGAAAAGACCTCAACAGCTCTGCGAGCCTTACTTGGTAAAATCTAAAAAAATTGTTACGTTTTCACGTAACAAAAGATGGCGTTTATACACTGGGATAGGGGTTCTCAACCTTTGTTGGAACGGTGGCCCCCCCCAACCGAGACCACTGGTCCCTGCACCGGCCCCCCCTCAAGGCGCCCACAACACATCTCCACCACTGGTTGCACGAGTCGCTCGAACACCGTTGATCAAACTGTAGCGGACATCCTCTCAGGCACGGTTCCCCTCCTTTGGCTGCCAATCCATCGTGAGGTCTCACCCGCCGGCCAATGTGCCCTCCAGCCCACGACGTGCCCTGCCCAAGTGCGCTCACGTTTCCTGTCATTCAGTAACGCAACCATCCGTTAATGTCCACTTTTTCAGAAGGCAAGAAAACCCGACGTGTTGTTAACTTTTGGAAGGAAGCACTTTCCTCTGTGCCGGTTATTGCCTACAGGCAAGTTTTTGGTCAAGAGGCAAAAAATCATCGTGGGTCACACTCAAAACGGTGGCAGCCGCTGCTGAAGGTGGGGCGCTATTCACACGGCCCAGAAGTGATTCCAGCGCAGCAGCAGCAGCTGCAGCTGCACGGGCTGCACCCAAAACCAAGCGTGTTGGGACGTCCTTCCAATTAACTCCAGGCGAGGCTCAATCCGGAGCGCGCAAAGGACGTGGTGACACCTGTAGCCTGCAGGAGGTCACCGAGCATTTCCGAGTAATTTCCCCTGCACGGTATCCACGCCGCAGCCCGAACCTCCCTCCCATGAAAGGCTTTCACGACCCCCCCCAGCCCACTCGCTCTGCTTAAATTTGCTCGTTAGTGAGCATTGCGCCGATGGTGGTGGCAGCCGTGAGCACGCAGGCTCATCACGTACCTCAAGGGACATCTGTAGCTCCTGTGCACGCAGCTTTTCACGTTCCAGCGCCTGGCGATGGTCAGCAACTTCGTTCTGCGCACTCTGCATTCTCTTCTCGGCCTGCTCGGCCATCTTGCACAGCTGCGTGAAAACCGACATTATAAAAAAAGACATCGGAATCAGAATCTTAACTCATCCTGGAGAAATCCGACGAGCTATGAAGCTCTTTTTCACAGGCGTCCAGTAGACGACACGCCTTCTCCTTCCCATATCTGTCCCTCCACATCAACAATACCAAAGTAAGTTGTCACGCATCCCATCGGGCCATGCTGCCTAATGACAGTGCATCAAATCAGCAGCACACAAGCAAAACTCTGGACCGGTTTTGACGTTCAGTGTCTCATCGGCAGTCAGGCTCGCTTGCGTGCGTGCGTGTCTGCACGTGCGTCTGTGCGTGCATGTCTGTGCGTGCGTGTCTGTGCGTGCGCGTGTGCGTGCATGGCCATGCGTGTGTGCGTGCGTGCGTGCGCGTCTGCGCGTGCATGCTTGCACTGCCACTGCGGGTGTCCCACCGTTGCCGCGCGTCGCTTCAGGTCCGCCACCTCCTCGTCGTGGTTCTCCCTCGTGCTCCCAGCAGCTCTCTCCAGCTCCTGGGCCTGCTCACGAAGGCGCCTCTCCAACTTGCCCAGAGCTCGCGTCTTACTCTGCGAGCGCCAGCGGCAGCACACGGGGAGCACCACATCTTAACCACTGCGACTTAAACCGTTTCGCTGTTGTCCACAAGCAAATCCTTGCGCTCGAAATCAAAACATAGTCCCCCCCTGTTCCACGAGGGTTTCCTCCGGGTTCTTTGGTTTCTTCCCATAGCTTAAAAAAAAAAACCCCATCCCGTGTAAGTGGTGTTGGCCAAACATCCCAATGTCGAAGAATGAAAACATGTCAGAGGCGACTTTGTGGGCAATAAGGGGCATTGTCCGAAATGTCGCCTCTCACGTGTTTGGTCGTCTTTGAAGGCGGCGGCGTTATTGGCGATGGCATCAGAGTGTCTGTCATCCGCGCTCGTGCGCAGGTGCCAACGCGGTGTAGCAAGCGGTGTGCGAGACACGGAAGGCGAGGGCGGTGACTTTATACTTTGTCACGCCCGCGGACGTTTCGTTTCCTTTTCACCGTTGACATTTTGTGAAGTTCGATGTACTTCTGAGTGATTGCAATTGTTCAGAAACTTGACCGACCTGCCCGATTGGCAGAGATGTTACATCTGAAGAGCATGAGTCAGAGTACGATATGAGACATTGGACTGTACTTACAAATAGCGAAAAAATTCCCACACACAATGTAAATGGTATTGGATAAAAATCACAGGAAATGACCCAATTGGCATGACACACACAGGGCACCATCACCCTACTGCGAAAACTTGGCAGGACCCTCCTGCAAACGTCTCAGTGAGGCCATCTGTTTAAGTTTAATAAAAAAAAAATACAACCTTGACGACAAAATTTGGTTAGAAACACCGATTTTTCAGGAAACACATTTGCATTTGTGTCATCTCAACATTACTTGCAATGTGAGTAATTTGCAGGTAATTTTTCGATTTAAAGCTTTCGTGACTGCAAGGATTCATCTTCTTTGGTTCTTTCGGTAAAGTCACGTAGAATGAGAATAAAATAATAAAATAACACAATAAAATTCTCACGACGTTTCGGCCACAATGCAAGCGGCCGTCTTCAGGTGAAAGGTACAGAACTGTGTTATTTTTTCATTTTATTCTCATTCTACGTGACTTTACCGAAAGAACCAAAGAAGATGCAGGAAATTATTCAGCATTGTGATGTTTAACCCCATACCGGTTACATTGTGGGGGTTTTTGTTTTTAGCTATGGGAGGAAACTGGAGTTTGCATGTTCAAGTCGGGGATCAAACCCAGGGGGGCACGTTGCCGCTGCACCGCAACACCGCCGCTGACGGCGGTCGCGCTCCACGGTAGACCGCAGCGTTCGCCGGCAACGCGCGGATCTCACCTCCACCTCGCGCTGCAGCTCGGTGCAGTGCCCCACGCTGGCGTTGAAGGCGATGGTCTTCTCCTCCAGCTGCCTGCACAGCGCGGCCATTTCACCCGCCCCCTTCTTCTTCTGCGAAGCCGAACAACAGGCGCGAGCTGAAGCCACGCAGAAGGGCGACCGATGAGGCAGTACTCACCGATTCGCTACGGTTACTCGCTTAACCACACTGGAGACCAATCCACTGCCTTATCGCTCTTTTATCACTCGTTCATTCCAAGAAACTCACGGTCTTCCGCAAAGCTCATGGTCCACAATAGATCACGTCTACTGCACAGACCATCGCGGCAGATGCGGTTACCTGATGCACGAACGGAAATTTGAAAACTCTCCAGCGGTGTGCGACTTTGGTCAACCAGAACAGAGACCGACAATGCATAACGACGCAATTCCCCGATCCACAGATAAGAAGTCGACATCACAGAAATACACTCCGCTGCTTCCGATGCGGTTGTCTGGCTTGACCACCTGAAAGTGAAACTGTGGTTGTTGCTCTGCATCTACATCAGCCAGCCATACGAAAGAAGGAGACTCGTCTATAATGAGTAAAGTGGTTTGTGGTTCCCGTGAACTCAAGGCAACGGTCGTTGCCCACCATCGTTGACTTCCCCAACAAAGTGGTACTCGGTAACGGACAGCTTTCCCCCCCCCGCCCAATCATAGGAACGTGTAATTTCCACCGCAAGCTGAGGGCTTTAGACAGAAGATGAGCAACCACCCCACTGCTCAGTTGGGCAAGGGACTTCCCATCGACTCGCTCCGCTTCGCGCCCACAGAGATGACATGCCAAGGGGGCCTCTGGCGGCAGCGGCGGCGGCGGCTGTGACGTACCTGCGCCTCTAGCTGGGAGGCCCTGCACGACGCCTGTGAGAGCTGGGACTGTAGGGAGGCCGCAGAGGCCTCTGCCTCGCGCAGACGCTCCTGCAGCGCCTCGGCCATCGTGTCCCCGTGCAGCCTCGCGTCGTCTGATCCGAACGGGGAAACATAAGCCGAGCGCGACGGCAGCTGTGCTTCAGCACCAGCGTTCCTCGAGGCAGCCTCTCCCGTGCCCCGAGATGACCGTTTGGTCCACAAAACGAGCCGGACGCGTTTAAGGTAAAGAGGTTTACATAAACAAACGACCCCCACTGCCACTGTGTAGCATATTATTACATGCCAGGGACTCTATGAGATGATGGGACAATAGTCTGAGTCCATAATTGGCAATAAGTAATGGCAAAGCGGTTATAAGTGACTCGCAGAATTGTGCGCAGTTGCGTACACAGAGTCCACGACTTCCCTGAAGGCATCAACACCTTCAGCGAGCGCGATGGCGATCACACAACGCGGTTCGAACTCGACCCTCGATCGATGGCTGTGCCATCGCCGCACACGCGTCGAATAAGAAGCAAGGGACAAGTCCTTACTTACTAACAACTCCTTACTAACAACTCCTTACTAACAACTCCTTACTTACTACTCCTTACTTACTAACAACTCCTTACTAACAACTCCTTACTAACAACTCCTTACTTACTAACAACTCCTTACTAACAACTCCTTACTTACTAACAACTCCTTACTTACTAACAACTCCTTACTAACAAGTCCTTACTTACTAACAAGTCCTTACTTACTAACAACTCCTTACTAACAACTCCTTACTTACTAACAACTCCTTACTAACAACTCCATACTAACAACTCCTTACTAACAACTCCTTACTTACTAACAACTCCTTACTAACAACTCCTTACTTACTAACAACTCCTTGCTTACTAACAACTCCTTACTAACAACTCCTTACTTACTAACAACTCCTCTTTCATTTTTCATTGCTGGAGAGGTTGCCCCCCCCCCACCTAAAAATCCTGGCTCCCCCATTGGTTGTTTTTGTAGTCATTTGCACCCGAGAAGCTCGTAGTCTGTGTGGACGATGCGGGGGGGTGAGGGGGTGAGGGATCAGGAACGTAACCGCGGCGTCCCTCCCGCTGTGCGCGACCGCCGAGGCCGCACGTGGCCGAGCGCGCGGCCGCGTCGCCGCCCGGCGCGTACCGTCCGTCTGCGTTGACGACGCGCTCCTCCGCTGCGCTGCCGGACACCGACTGCTCGGGGCGCCGCTCTGCAGCGCTTCCAGCTCCCGATCTTTCTTGCAAAGCAGCGACCTGAAGGGAAGCGCACGGCTCGGCAATGAAAAGCCCCTCCACGCTCGATCGGCTGCGCGGCAGTGCTCGGCCTTGCTTTTGGTTGCGAGTCAGGATTGAAAATTCCATATTGCAATACAATGGGCCTTTGCACAACACTTATACTTTATACCTATTGTGAAAAATAAATTACAACTGAACACCTCAGTTTTTGCAGTCAATATCATAATAATTCCGACTTCCTGGACCGTCATTCTGACTACCAAGGATCTTGTCCTATAATGCATGACACAGATTCCAACGAAATGTCGTATCTCGTCGATAAATCTGGTTATGAGAATTGTTCAACTTACTGGTGCGAGCTGAAAATATAATAACCAACGGGTAAAACGCTTGTGCACGTCACAACTTGGCTGTGTCGGGTGGTGGAGCGTCACAGATTCGGTGAAATCGTTACATGACCGAACAGAAAAATGTATTACGAAGATATTATTTAAGGACTAAAAATACATAATGATCCCCCGAACAACCAAGGTGACACATATTGCACGCTGAACACAAACCTCAGCTCCGTGATGTCATGTGAGCAGAGGCTGGCAGAAGGCGGCATATCCTCTTCATCAGGCCCACATTTCACGTTGCATGAGGGTGAAGGTTTCCGTTCCAGCAACTAGAGAATAAAAATAAAACATTGGTGACGCTTACATAGGAACCGAAACCTGCGCTCCAGAGCAGCGTATGTACGTGTGTTTGCTGAACTTCTTTCGCACCATACGTAGCCCACCGTGCTAATCTGAGGTATGGGAGAAGGACAACTAATGGCAAAACGCAGTTCGAAATAAATGAGTTTTCAATTGAGATTTAAAGCGCATAGCTCTAATGGCTTCCTAATACCGGAAGAGCGTTCTAGATGGCTGTAAGAAGCGCATCTGAAAGCGCCACGCAATGCGGCGACTGTCTTTGTTTAACGGCAAAAGCTGATGCTGCTGCTGCGAGGATGAGCGAAGCGTCACGTGATGATGGTTTATGCTCCTTGACGAGATCAGCAAGTTTCGATTCAAAGCTTTCGTGACTGCAGGGATTCACCTTCTTGGTTCTTTCGGTAAAGTCACGTAGAAGGGCAATAATAAAATAATAAAGCATAATAACATAAAATTCTCACAACGTTTCGGCCACAACACAAGCAGCCGTCCTTTGTCAAGGCGCTCTGCTCCTCCCACCCAGCTTAAAAGACGCTGCCAAGCTTAGCAGTGTTCACTGGAGCGCTGTCTTTCCAACAGTTCTGTTTCTTCACCTGAGGAAGGCTGTGTTGCGGCCGAAACGTCGCGAGAATTTTATTTTATTATGTTTTATTTTTATTATTTTATTATTTCCCTTCTACGTGCCTTTACCGACAGAACCAAGAAGGAGAGATCAGCGAGGTGTTGTGGTTCATTTGTGGCGAGCGCTTTGAGTGCAACAAGCGCGACCTGAGAATATATTCGTTCAGCCAACGGAAGCCGAGTAGAACCAAGGCCAAATGAGCATCGAGAGTCGTCCCACAGCTTAGCTCGTTTCCGTTGTACAGTGTGTTAGACAGCGTTTCACATCACGAAGTATAAGGTAGTGGATGACATTTCTGAAAAAACACAGCACCTCCCTGGGACCCCCCCCCCACTGCACAGCATTCCCATCTCTGAGGACGAACCGCGCAAATTATTGCATTCTTCAAACGTTGCGCTTAACGTAAACGCAACTCACTTGCTTTTGTTTTGCAACACAGCTGTGTAGTCTGTTCCCCTATAACACGTGTTGTTTTTATAACTCGAATTGGATAGGACGCGATGAATGTATGAGGGAACACATGTTTTATAATGCGGATGCGATCTGGATATAACGCAATTGATTGAACGGAACTCCGTCGCGCGAGTAGGAATAAGCGGTTGTACGGCGGCCTCGGCGTAGCATCACACGAGGAATTGGGATGCTGCTGGATGCTTCTAGATGCTACGCACGCTCCTCAGTCTTTGTTCAGCCTGCGTACGCATTTCACGTGTTACCGCGGACCGTGCTTTACCCCCTGTATTATTTATTATAACGCGATTCTTCATAACGCGGTGTTCTTCCGGAATGCAACTACGACCGCCGGCCCACTGCCCTTCCCCCTCGCTTGGAGTCAGACACAGAGATACGCCCTGACCAAGGCTATTGCAGCAACTTTAAAACCTACGGTATGTGTTCAGAAAATATGATTTGAGAAACCTCTGTGATCACGGTCATCGCTTCTGTCCGCTCGTATTCTCAACGACACTTAGCCATCTTACCGGTTGCGTAGCCTCCAGCTCCTTCTTCAGACGGCAAACCTCGGCCTCAAAGATCTGGCAGTTTTCTTGTAAAGTACTGCATAAACAAGACAAAGATTTCCCCTTGCAGCCTTCACAGAGTGTTGGGGCAAGTGTTGTTAGCGAGCCAGGATGGTGCACGAGGGGATGGATGGCCAGCACCACGCATGGCCACCGTTGTCTTCCTAATGCTGCACCAGGTACGAATCAACCTCGAGGAGGCCTAGGACCAGTTCAAATGTACGTCAATGATGTTGGCCGTGAATGGCAATCGAACTCGGGTCGTCGGGTTCGTAGCACAATGTGCTAATTAACCACTTCGCCACTGCTTCCCATAAACACTCGCACACAGGACCATTCATATTCAGCTGGGTGAGAACCCATTGGAATTACAACATTTTTTGTATTTGATTATATCTCAACGGTCTTCAATTGCCATTTTTTTTAACAGACAGAAGGCATCCACAAATGCCCAAATGGACGAAGACGTGAACATAAAACCACGGCCTCCGTACGGAGTCGGTGACAGGTGCGCTCACCAACAGGCTAAGGAGCAGCCCTGCCACCGCTCGCTCGCGGCAGAAAACTCCAAGAGGGTACAGCCCGATCTCCTCTAATGCGTGTTGCTTTCATAATGCGAATTGGATATAACACGCTGAGTGTGTAGTGACGTACATGGAGTCACTATGGCGTTTAGCGCCAGCTACTGTCACAAGAGTGGAACTGTGGGTCTTGGCACCAGAGTAAGCATGGCATGGAAGCGGGCCCTAGGGGGCGTGGTTCTCGCGAGCATAAAAGGGAAGTCCCAAGATCAATCGCGGCTGTCTGCTGGAATGGAACCCGTCGGTGCTACGTCTCTTTGATCCTCGGTCTTCGGTCATCACATTTGGCATCGTGGATCAGGTGGTGTGTTGGCTGACTGACCCAGTTCTGTAATAACCCAGTCGTTGTATAGTTAACCAGTTGTTACGTTATGTAGTTACCCTGTTGGGGTTGTGTAATAAACGTGTTGCCTACAAGTTCAAGTGCGGGCCTCCGTAGAACCCACTATAATTATATTAGGGAACATTATTTTTTTTATAACGCTGGATGCAAATTGGATATAACGCCAACGAAGGAACGGAACTACGTCGCGTGAGTAGGGATATGCGCCGGCCTCGGCGTAGCATCACACGAGGCATTGGGATGCTGCTGGATGCTTCTAGATGCTACCCACGCGCCTCAGATTTTGTTCAGCCTGCGTACGCATCTCACGTGTTATCGCAGACCGGGCTTCACCCTAAAATATATATTATTTATTTATCCACAACGCGGTTCTCTTCAGGAACGCAACTCCCGCCGCGTTATAGGAGAACAGGCTGTAATCGGTCTACTCTTATGCGTTAAGCAAACGCGTTGGGAGAGGTGGGAGTTACTCACGCTTTGCCCCACCGCACGCAACCTGCTATATGACCTACCAATTGTGGTGGTACCCGTTTATAATGATGGGTGGGCGAGAGGCGGTGGGACTTTGATAAACCTGCCCCGTTGTTTCAACTGCCGCGCACGGGAGTTCGAATTGAATGGCTAACTTCTGGATGCCAGGTCCGGTGCACGAACCATCACACCGCTGTAGCAGCTCCCTACGCACACCAATAGGCTTATCCAAATCTTACCAGTTTGCCGCACTTAGCGCGAAGAAATATCGAGTGACAAACGTAATACCGTTACATTCTGAACCGCATCTATCTGCAAGTTTCAAAATGTTGAGACACACAGCAGTGGCTCCACACAGCACACACTGTATAGACGGCACACACTCTGTAGTTAGCACACAGCACACACTGTAGACAGCACACAGCATACAGCACACACTGTGTAGACAGCACACACTATATAGACAGCACACAGCATACAGGCACACAACTTGTAGACGGTACACACCACCGTTTACACAACACAAAGCACACATCATGTACACAACACACAGCGTGTGAAGAGAGCGACTTACCTGACCAGCAGTGTGAGTTCGTGGTTGTCGGAGACTACACCAGCCCGCTGCTCGCTCACCGAAGCGCACTCCGACAGGGCCCGGCTCAACTCTGACACCAGGGACTGCTCTCTGCTGCGGTACTACAACACGCACAGCACGCGCGTGAAGACACACACACTCATATTCTTAGCTCTTTCGGTAAAGTCACGTTGAAGGGAAACAATAAAATAATAAAATATATATGAAACAATAAAAATTCTCACGACGTTTCGACCATAACACAAACGGTCGTCATCAGGTGTGTCGGTTTGCATTTATTTATTTTTAAACGGTGTATTTATCATTGTTATAATTCAGTAGGCTCACATGACATTGACTTTTCCAAGACAGAGGTTCTTTGTAAGCCATCTGGCTACCATGAGAGATTCGTTCATGAGGCTATCCACATATACAAGCACAAAATTTGCGCTTTAGCCGCCGGGCGCTCTGCTCATTGTTGTGAGTGTTGCTCCTCTGCCCTCCGTTGTTGCTGGAGGACGACTGCTTCCAATTTCCCAGCAGCGTCCTTCACAAATCTCCTCCACAGAGGCCGATCTTGACACTGCTGGTACCAGTCATCGGCAAGTCTAATCAGCTAAACATCCTTCTGTACCACATCGGTCCATCTCTTCTCCAGCCCGTGCCGTGCCCGTTTAGCCCCCTCTCTCTGGCCAAACAGAAGCTACTTGGGCATGCGGTGGCTGGGCAAGCGGGCGACATGACCCAGCCAAAGCAGCCTTGCCTACCAGAGTAGCTCACTGATGGGACTGTGTCCAGCTCTTTCCAGGAGCTGTGAACTCTTCACACAATCCAGTCTAGTAAAACCCAGGATGGATCGTAGGCAGGCCAGCCTGAATGTTTTAAACCGGCAAAGATCTTCCTTTAGGTCTCCACGTTTCACAAGCATAGAGAAAGGAGGGCATAACTGTGGCCGACAAGACCCAGAGCTTTGTATGGAGCAACAGGCCAGGTAGCTTCCACACAGCGCTACACAGCTGATGAAAAGATAATGCCGATCGACTGATTGGAAGTGACACAGTCACACACACTCGTATACAGATATCACTGCACCTAACAAGATGTACCCTACTACACGCAATTACAAAAGGTCATCGCATCACACGTACAATTGTGGATATAATGTATGATCACAGATACCAACAAATATGACATACAATACAAATGGACAATCCTGTACGTGCGAGCATGTGTTCCTATGTATGTGACAAACATAAGGGGAGCGGTAGTGTAGCGGTTAGCGCGCTGCGCTACGAACCAGGCGGCCTGAGTTTGATTCCCGCTCACGACCAACACCAGTGATGATCATTTGAACTGGTCACGGGCCTCCCCTAGGTCGACTCAGCCTCAAATGAGTACCTGGTGTGGTATGTAAGCATCTTCACAGGGAAGATAAAGGCGGCCGGGCGTGGTGTTGGCCACCCCTTGTGTGCCGTGCCGCCCTTCATAGGTGCTACTCGCTAACGGCACTTGCCCCAACAGTCTGTGCAGGCTATACAGGAGAACCTTGTCTTTTGTAACAAACATAGAATAGCGGGATGTGCGTGTGTCTGTGTGTGTGTCATATACAGATCTGCAGGAGGCTCTGGTGTGTCTGTGTGTGTGTTGTGTATAGACCTACAGGAGACTCTGGTGTGTCTGTGTGTGTGTTGTGTATAGACCTGCAGGAGACTCTGGTGTGTCTGTGTGTGTGTCTGTGTGTGTGTGTTGTGTATAGACATGCAGGAGGCTCTGGTGTGTCTGTGTGTGTGTCTGTGTGTGTGTTGTGTATAGACCTGCAGGAGGCTCTGGTGTGTCTGTGTGTGTGTTGTGTATAGACATGCAGGAGGCTCTGGTGTGTCTGTGTGTGTGTGTTGTGTATAGACCTACAGGAGACTCTAGTGTGTCTGTGTGTGTGTTGTGTATAGACCTGCAGGAGGCTCTGGTGTGTCTGTGTGTGTGTCGTGTACAGACCTGCAGGAGGCCTTGGTGTGTCTGTGTGTGTGTTGTGTACAGACCTACAGGAGACTCTGGTGTGTCTGTGTGTGTGTCTGTGTGTGTGTTGTGTACAGACCTGCAGGAGGCTCTCGGACAACTGGGCCCGGTAGCCTTGAAACGAAGCTTTTACCTCCTGCAGCTGTTCGGACAGTTCACGTTTCTCCGCATCAGCCCTGCAAGGCCAAACATGCTCAGTTTATACAAATAGACCTCGGTTGAGCGCTGCTCTGCGTTTGGGACAGTATTGTGTTCCTAAAATAATTCAGGATTAGATCGCGTACATCTGAATGTGTCGTTAACCCAGCACCACCCAACACAGCCAATTAGTAAGGTTTGTCACGTAAACAAAACGTGCGAATTAGTTTCTAGTTCGGCACACCGGTGTGTTGGAGTAAAACCACAACATATTCTTGGGTCTTTCGGTAAAGTCACGTAGATAGGTTCAAAGAAAGGAGCAAGAAACCACGACGTTTCGATCGCAACACAAGCGGTCGTCATCAGGAAAAGGGGGTTAGCTTCTAAAGGCAAACTGTTTATAAAGGTTTGAAATGGGCGTAGCCCAAGTGTCAGCAGCATGGGCGGGGCAGCTAATGTTCATGTAAGGGATTAAAAACGGTGTGCCCCAGCATGTAGGGGGGTGCTAGAAGGTGATGTAGGGCGGTGTAAGAAGTGATGGTACTCGTAGAGGGCGACGATAATGCTGGTGGTGGGTGGGCTTCCACCAATAAAGGGCTACTGGTGGGCAGTGATGGTCCCGGTGGTGTGCTTCCTCCAATTAAAGGGCTGCCAGGTCTAAAATGGAAACATTATAGCCAGTTATGACTTAAACTGGTTGATAACGTCCTTCCAGTGATTGCTAAGTTTGTATCCATCTTCTCGGTTGAAATTGTGTCTATGTCTGTATATATGGATGGCTTCATGAACAAATCTTTGTTGATAGCCAGTGGGTTTGCAAAATACCTTCGTCTTAGATAAAACAATTTCGTGTGAGCCAACCGCATTAAAACAATGATCAGCCACGGCCGAGGTATTGGTCCTACCGTGTTTCAGATCTGCCTTATGTTCACGAACACGGTCTGAGACATGTCGCTTAGTTTCCCCAATGTAACTACTGCCGCAGACACAGCTTAGTTTGTAGACGCCGGGGTATTGCATGTCAGGGATCACATCCTTCACAGACGGGATCAGATCACGAATTTTACGTACTGTACTCTTTGGTTCTTTCGGTAAAGTCACGTAGAAAGAGAAATAACATAATAATAGAATACGACGTTTCGATTGCAACACAAGCAACCATCATCAGGTACAAATGAATGAGAAAACAAACCTAGTAAACTTGGAAATACAATGCAATACAACACAGAGAGTCGGCCAACACAACAGTCAACACCCCACCTGGTTGATTACGTTCTTCCAAAGATTGTGAAATTTGAGAGAGAGACAAAACACAGACACGGAGACACACAGACAGACACACAAGCAGAGATAGACTCACACAGAGACAAACAGAGAGAGACACACACATAGGCACACCTGTGTGTGTTATTTGCTTTGAACCTATCTACGTGACTTTACCGAAAGACCAAAGAATATGAATTTCCGCAGTCATGAAAGCTTGAAGTCAAGATAAAAACCACAACATTTACGATTCGAGTACTTTAACGTTTCTCTGGTAATTACAAGAGCCTCATCAGGCGATTTTATCCAGAATGATATTGTTGCCAGGAACCCAAGGCTGGCCACACACTGGATCTCCCTCGTAGAACAGCTGGGTAACTGGCTAAGCGGGACCATCCGTGCAACAAATCAAATAAAATCAAACACACAGGCACCGCTGCACGACCTGCGCCGATGACACTACCGCACGCACGGATGCTGTCTGTCTCGAGGGGAACATGTCCATATTGTAACTGCGACTGTCATTCCCACTGACCCACGCGGCCAGAAGCCAGGCAAACGCACACACAAGCGTACACAAGCACACACGCGCATACACGCACGCACGTGCACACGCACGCACAAGCACACACACGCACACACAAGCGTACACACGCACACACACGCACGCACAAGCACACACGCGCACACACGCACGCACAAGCACACACGCGCACACACAAGCGTACACAAGCACACACACGCACACACAAGCGTACACAAGCACACACACGCACACACATGCACACACAAGCGTACACAAGCACACACACGCACACACATGCACACACAAGCGTACACAAGCACACACAAGCGTACACAAGCACACACACGCACACACAAACGTACACAAGCGCACACACAAGCGTACACAAGCACACACACGCACACACACGCACACACAAGCGTACACAAGCACACACACGCACACACAAGCGTACACAAGCACACACACACGCACACACAAGCGTACACACGCACACACACGCACACACACGCACGCACAAGCACACACACGCACACACAAGCATACACAAGCGTACACACGCACACACAAGCGTACACAAGCACACACGCGCACACACAAGCGTACACAAGCACACACACGCACACACACGTGCACACAAGCGCACACACGCACACACAAGCGTACACAAGCACACACACGCACACACAAGCGTACACAAGCACACACACGCACACACAAGCGTACACAAGCACACACACGCACACACAGGCGTACACAAGCACACACACGCACACACACGCACACACAAGCGTACACAAGCACACACACGCACACACACGCGCACACAAGCGCACACAAGCACACACAAGCGTACACAAGCACACACACGCACACACACGCACACACAAGCGTACACAAGCACACACACGCACACACACGCACACACAAGCGTACACAAGCACACACACGCACACACAAGCGTACACAAGCGTACACAAGCACACACACAAGCGTACACAAGCGTACACAAGCACACACACGCACATACAAGCGTACACAAGCACACACACGCACACACAAGCGTACACAAGCACACACACGCACACACAAGCGTACACAAGCACACACACGCACACACAAGCGTACACAAGCGTACACAAGCACACACACACAAGCGTACACAAGCGTACACAAGCACACACACGCACACACGCGCACATGGAACCAGACAGAGGAAGAGCAAAGACGCACCGACCTCGAGCGCAGTGGCGCAAAGTCAAGGGAGCCGTGACGCCGGAGTGAGATGGGAACAGGTGGAGAGATCTCGCTCCGCCTCGCCGAGACGACGGTGGAGGATGGGGAGAGCGTGGACACTCACTGCTTGGTCCACGCAGCCCTCTCGCGTAGCTCGGCCCTCAGTCGTTCGGCGTCGCGTGTGAGCCGCTCGCACTCCGCCTCTCGCTGCTGACCACGCTGCTGCACCAACTCCAACGCTTCCTCCGCAGCCCTGACTCGTGCAAACACGGGGCATTCAGAATCCCAGAAACACGGGGCATTCAGAATCCCAGCAACACGGGGCATTCAGAATCCCAGCAACACGGGGCATTCAGAATCCCAGCAACACGGGGCATTCAGAATCCCAGCAACACGGGGCATTCAGAATCCCAGCAACACGGGGCATTCAGAATCCCAGCAACACGGGGCATTCAGAATCCCAGCAACACGGGGCATTCAGAATCCCAGCAACACGGGGCATTCAGAATCCCAGCAACACGGGGCATTCAGAATCCCAGCAACACGGAGCATTCAGAATCCCAGCAACACGGGGCATTCAGAATCCCAGCAACAAGGGGCATTCAGAATCCTAGCAACACGGAGCATTCAGAATCCCAGCAACAAGGGGCATTCAGAATCCAAGCAAAATGGGGCATTGACAATCCCAGCATTACGGGGCATTCAGAATCCCAGCAACACGGGGCATTCAGAATCCCAGCAACACGGGGCATTCCGAATGCCAGAAACACGGGGCATTCACAATCCCAGCAACACGGGGCATTCACAATCCCAGCAACACGGGGCATTTACAATCCCAGCAACACGGGGCATTCAGAATCCCAGCAACAAGGGGCATTCAGATTCCCAGCAATACGAGGCATTCACAATCCCAGCAACACGGGGCATTCAGAATCCCAGCAACATGGGTTTGTGTACTGATCAACACGGTGAACTGACGGTGGATATTAAAGATCCCGTGAGATCATTCGAAAAAGAGTTGGCCATTGTGTGCTGGCACCTTGGTCCAATAGTATCCATAATAGAGGTTTTTGTTGGCGAGACAGGCTTGGATGAATAATAATAATAAATACACCATAATGGTGGCAATGCTTTCTCTGAACGCTCCCGTCACAATCTGCTCTGAGATTTATTCAGAGCCCCCTCTTCTTTCTGGGCTCACTACAAACTTCTAAAACCGTCCGCGGAAGGCCTCGCAAATCCTCCAGGTGTCAGGACAGTGACGACGGTCCCGTCTTAGCAGCACGCAAGCTCATACATTCAAGTTCACACGCTAGAAACCACACCCAAGCTGATGCTCACGGAGCAAAAGTGGCGGGCTAAGGGAATATTCCCATCGACTAGTGTGCAGCAGTCAGCGGGTCTCCTGACGACAGGCACATACGAACCTCCTCATGGCATCTTGCTCTGCGGATCTTAACTCCAAGCCTGCCACCCTGTCTTCCACATCTCGAGACCGTTTCACAATGGCAGTCACGTCACCTTCCAAATGCGTTATCTGTAACATAAAACATACACGCATACATATATACGTATCTTGTCATGAAACACACAGACATGAAAATCAAACAGTTGCAGGAATTTGCAGATGCAATTTTTTGTAGTTTTTGTTTGGAGGGACAGACGATGATCGTGATTCACGTGTGCCGTGTACCCATGGCATGGCTATGATTGTGAGCAGGAGCACTTAGCGCCTCTGATTAGCACGGTTCGCTACGTATGGTGCGAAAGAAGTTCAACAAACTTACACATGCGTACAACTCTGCTTGAAGTGTGACTCTTTTTTATTATCCTCTCGGTTTCGAGGTCGGAATTTCTGAGCGATTTCCAGTCAACTTAACCATATTTTCTTTTACCAGGTAAGGCTACACTGAGCTATATACTGTAGCTTTTTTCAGAAGCGACCTGGCCACAAATGACAGCTCAACAAAGTGGCTTATCCGGTGCAATGTTTGTAGATAGCAGCCACATTCTCTAAACGCCCGTTTACTAAATGTTGAAGGAAAAACCGGAGGACCCCGGAGATAAAGCCACGTGATCATGCCGATAGAGAGAGACGCAAACTCCAAATACACAGCAGGCGTCAGGGTCGGGACCGACCCCACGACCTCCTGCATACCAGGCAAGGAAGTTAACATCCCTCCATCGTAGGAGAGCAGCTCACCCCCTACACGAGCATCAGAACCGAGGTGCTGCTGATGTGCCGAGCGTGCGCTCGTACCGCCTGTACGACAGGGGCGCGACGCCGATACGCACCTCAGCGTTGGCGCTATCGAGCTGTTGAAGCAGCAGGTGGTTCTCCGTCACCAGAGAAGAGTTTTCCGAACACAGGCTGATGAGCTTCCGTCTCAGCTCCAGGTTTTCCTCATCTACGCGTGATACAGTTGGCATCTGCACGCCCGCACGCACAAATGCCTGTAGTCCAGCACCGTGGAGGCAGCGAAGATTGGTAAATCGCATCGACGCCGTTAAACTCCCTGCCCGTGCGTGGGCGGTCGAGGAGTTGCCATACGTTGGCTTGCCGGGAGAAGGCGGTACAACAAGTGTGGACTCCACTCGCTCTGCGTGTATGGGGGAAAGAGCGCTGTTGCCCCCCGTGCGCATGCGTTTTTCTCCACGAACTGGCCGATACCACCTTCGTATATATTGAGGACGACAGAGCTTGGGGAAATTGTTGGCACTGGCCCGACGCCCTCGCCTGCGGTTCCTCCTCGAGTCTCCGAGTCGTTATCTCTGCCCGCGAGTGAGCGAGCGAATGGCGTGCGGCGGCGACGCCTTACAAGTTGAGATCATTATTAAAGAAATAATTTCCACCGAACCATCGCCCCTGAAAACATCACGATGCAGCACTGAAGGCGGTCCGCACACCCATGTCGACGTTGTGTAGTCTGGTGGCAGGCTACACATATTGATATTCCACTGACTTTGCAGAGTTTAGCCTCGTACGTACGTGTGTACGTTGAACTTCTTTCGCACCGTACGTAGCCAACAGTGCGAATCGGAGGTGCGTGTAAACACTAGAAAACTGAGCATATCGAATTTAAGCTCAAAATACATTAACGATGCAGGTGGGTGTGATTCTCCCGCATTAGGGAGAATCAATTCATTCTCATTAATATTATTAATTCTGCTTGTTTACCCAGAGAAGCCTCACCGAGTCTCTCAGGAGAGTCGTGTCAAGTGTTTCGCAGCAGGGGTCGATGTTGCTGCTGTACGTGGGGACGGTCCTCGGCTCGCGAACGACGGGTTACGTTGCTGAGACCCGTTCGCACGTCGATTTGCTGGTAATGTTTTATTTACTGCATAGTAAATAAAACAATTAAAGTATTTTCACTCACCTTGAGTCCTGATGCTGGCTTGCTTGCGGGAAGGGGGGCGGCACACTGTCACTGTGCGTCACGCAAGATGCCGGAACTCAGTGCACCTCGCGGAGGATCGCTCCGGCGAGTAAAATAGTTCCGCGTTCGTAAGTCGGATGGTTAAAAATAATATTTTTATGGCAGTTCGCTCGTAAGTGCGGATGCTATTAAGCGGGGATGTTCGTAAAATCGGCCGTTCTTATCTTGGGGACTACTTGTGATCCCAATGCAATAATGTTTCAGCGTTGGCATTTTTGGCCAATGCCAGTTACATCGGGTGTTGTTTTTATGATTCAAAGATGCAATTAAATTCCGGAGTATGTTGTTTAACGTGGCAGTGAATGGTAGCTTCTCCAGAGGTCGCACTCGTTGCACACGAAGTGCTTGCCAAAAATGAACCTCAATACCTTGCTGATCTCGGCGTGGAACATAAACCACCATCACGTGCACTGCGGTCATCCTCATGGCAGCTTTTGGCTGGCCATCGAACAAAGATGGTCGCTGCACCGCGCGCTTTCAGATGCGCTTCTGCGGCAGTCTGGAACGCTTTATTTTTATGCACTTTTACATCTCGATTGAAAACTCATTCGTTTAAAACTGCCTGTTGTGTTAAGTTTGTTGTCCTTCCCCTGCATCTCCAATTAGCACGGTTGGCTTTGTAAGGTGCGAAAGAAGTTCAATATACATACATGTAGGGGTCACAAGAACTGATGACAATGTATACTGCTTGAGAAACATAGTAACTTGCAAATGCCACATGTTCAGTTTTTTTGTCTCAACATCAAAACTAATATTCTCTACACAAAAAACTCGGTATAGGTAAAAAAAAAATACTCTTAATACTCTGAACTGTTGACAAGTTTACTTTCTGTGTATGTCGCACAACCTAACTGCTCAATTCCACCGGTTTTAGTGCTTTGTGAGGTCATTAGAGTTGGCCAAACATCCAAATGTAGGACCACTGAGCTCGGGCAATCGTCGGCGCTGGTTCTGGCCGCCTTTTCGCTCGTCTGCCATTAAAATTAAACGGCGTTTTGAGATGCAAAGTGCTGGATAAAATCAGAGTAGCAGCAGCAGCAGCATTACTGCAGACACGAGACTTGCGTTATTTGTGTAAAGCAGCGCCGGCGAAAGAAGGCACCTTGCTGGTGGGCGTGGTCTCCACCACGCGGCTTCCACCTCGCTGTGAGCAGCTCCCGTAACGGAAGTCGTCGTCGAGGGCGCCACTGCCGACGGGTCGCTCCGAAAGGTCATCCAGGGTCAGATCAGGGATCTCTGCATCCTCACTAAACACACGCCCATTCACTGGCGAGATTGCTCACTGTTGGTATTCATCTTAACACCCGTTTTATTTGCCAGAAAGGGTCAAACCTATTCTCATTTTTTCATACAAAAATAACAATCATCATCATCATCATCATCGTCGCACTTATTTACTCAGGAAAGCCACACTTAAGTCCTAAGGCACTTTTTTAAAGGATGGGTCCTGCATCGGGATGCTCGGCCAATACCGGTTACACGGTATGGGAGGTTCGTTTGTTTGTTTTTTTAGGCATGGGAGGAAACCAGAGGGCCCGCAGGAAACCCATCCAGAACACGGGGGAAGAACATACACACTCCACACCGAAAGGGACTCGAACCCAGGCCTGCGCTACAAGGGACGCGGTTCTTCTTCTTCTTCTCCTATCGTACAGCACGATGACGTAACAGCTGAATGCTAAGGTCCTTCGACCAACCCAAGGCGGCGGTGGCCGCCGTACGGATCGCAGCGATAGCGCCAGGGTGTGCCTGCGGGGATGGCGCTCGCCGTCGGCGCGATGCCTTTGACGAGGCGAGGGAAGCGCGTGGCGTCCGTCGTGCGCCGATGCCCGCCGGCCCGGCTGACTCACGAGCGCTCGCTGGCCGGGCGGCGAGGGCCCAGGCCCTGCAGGCTGCGCTCCGTTTGCCTCAGCATCTCCTGCAGCGAGCGCACGTTGCCCCGCAGCCGCAGCTCTTCCGACATGGCCGAGACGTCTCCCGTCACCTGGCAACGAGCGGGCGTCTCCGCCTCCCTTCACAGGTCCATCCACGTAACACACACTCAAGTACTTTTATACACATCCCATCAGCCACGCAGCCTTCTGGGGGACAAGACAACAAATATGCCCTCTCCCACCCCCTCCTAAACTACACATGATGCATTTTGATTTAAAGCTTTCGTGACTGCAGGGATTTATATTCTTGGTTCTTTCGGTAAAGTCACCACGTAGAAGGGAAACAATAAAATAATAAAAATATAAAACAATAACATTTTCACGACGTTTCGACTGCAACACAAGCAATCATCATCAGGTGTGAAAACCACAACAAGAAAATGTAAAAAAAACCGCCACTCTTTTTACATTTTCTTGTTGTGGTTTTCACACATGATGATTGCTTGCGTTGCAGTCGAAACGTCGTGAAAATGTTATTGTTTTAGATTTTTATTATTTTATTGTTTCCCTTCTACGTGACTTTACCGAAAGAACCAATAATACAAATAACTCAACAAGGTGGCATATCATGTGGACATGTATAGCAGCAGCCAAGGGGCAGTCCATAAATGACGTCACGCACCTGGGGGGCGTCAGACATTTGTGACGATGTGTGACGAGGGGGGGGGGGGTGAGAAATGTGACGTCACATCAAAATGCGCAACTTTAAATAGAGTGCAGCGCCACATTAAATACGCACTACAATGACAATAGTTTAAAGCGATTTGAAGCATGTTATATTTTCAAAATGGAAATGTTTTTTTTTTGGGGGGGGGGGGTGACAGTGCTTTGTGACGTCATATTTGAGGGTGGTCTGACTTTTTGTGACGCCGTGTGACGGGGGGGGGGGTCAAAAATCGTCCAAAATCGCGTGACGTCATTTATGGACGGCCCCCAAATACTCCATCCGCACGTTGATTTTAAATGTGGAGGGAAAAACCGGAGGACTCGGGATAAAAAAAATCCAAATCAAATCTACAGCAGGCGTGGGGGGAGATCGCACCCACGACCTCCTCCTGCATACCAGGCGAGATAGTCAACATCTCCTAGCCACCGTGCTGACCAGCACGGGCAAAAAGTGTGGAACGACTTCGACATTCAGCATCTCATCGACGAGACCGATTGTACACAGTGTCTGGCACAACGCAAGATCATCGTTCGCGCCCTTGTGCGGCAGAGAGAATCTAAGTGACGGGTAACGAAGCGGAGAACAATGAGGCTTCTGCACACAATGACGGGATGTTTACACATCCCGTAATTGTTTGTTTACACGTCCCGTCAGCCACTCACAAGGCAGTGGGGTCACGCAATCGGTGGACAAGGAAAGGGGTCGTCCATAAATGACGTCACGCGATTTTGGCAGATTTTTGACCCCCCCTCCCCCCCTCGTCGCACGGCGTCACAAAAAGTCAGACCCCTTCAAATATGACGTCACAAAGCTCTGCCTCCCCCCCAACCAAAACCATATTTCCATTTTGAAAATAAAACGTGCTTCAAATCGCTTTAAACTATTGTCATTGTAGTGCGTATTTAATGTGGCGCTGCACTCGGATGTTGTAGGAGAAAACATTTAGTAAAAAGGAGGCGTTGGAAAGCTGAAATTTAGCATAAAATTCACTTGAAAATATTCAACGTATAACTAAAACTGCAGATGTTCAGAATATTATATTGAAATTCTCTTATAATTATAAAATATTAAAAGTAATTCTAACTATAACAAAAAAACTTGAAACTTAGTAATAGAACGAAGCAAAATGGAGAGTACAATTATAACAATCACATATTCATTCCACAGAATGAAAAGCCCTGGAAGAATCATTAAAATAAAAATGTTTTTAATAACAATCATTAAAAAATGACAAAATGTATGCTTCTCCAATCTCCCATGGAGAAGCAAAATGCTCCTTCATGGCATAAATAAAAGGTGACCTTGGTAAATTTAGAAAATCAAATATAGTAGTTAATAATGAAAATTTATCAAAATTAGTGTTGTTATAACAATTATATTTTATATTTATTTAAAATTGCGCATTTTGATGTGACGTCACATTTCTCAAACCCCCCCTCCCCCCCTCGTCACACATCGTCACAAATGTCTGACCCTCCCCCCCCCCCCCTAGGTGTGTGACGTCACTTATGGACGGCCCCTAATCACGCTGCCAGACAGACACGGGGTGAAGGTGGCACGAGACTCATAGGGGAGTGAGACACGGGGAGTTGGAGCGAGACACGGAGAGTGAGACACGTGGAGTGAGAGTGAGACATGGGGAGTTGGAGCGAGACACGGAGAGCGAGAGACACGGGGAGTGAGACACGGGGAGTGAGAGACACGGGGAGTTGGAGCGAGAGTGAGACACGGGGAGTGAGAGACACGGGGAGTGAGAGTGAGACATGGGGAGCGAGAGACACGGGGAGTGAGAGACACGGGGAGTTGGAGCGAGACACTGAGAGCGAGACACGGGGAGTGAGAGACACGGGGAGTTGGAGTGAGACACGGGGAGCGAGAGACACGGGGAGTGAGACACGGGGTGTAGGAGACACGGGGAGTGAGAGACACGGGGAGTGAGAGTGAGACACGGGGTGTGGGAGACACGGGAAGTGAGAGTGAGACACGGGGTGTAGGAGAAACGGGGAGAGACACGGGGAGTGAGAGTGAGACACGGGGTGTGGGAGACACGGGGAGTGAGAGACACGGGGAGCGAGAGACACGGGGAGCGAGAGACACGGGGAGTGAGAGTGAGACACGGGGAGTGAGAGTGAGACACGGGGTGTGGGACACGGGGAGTGAGACACTGGGAGTGAGACACGGGGAGCGAGTGACACGGGGAGTGGGTGACACCGGGGAGTAAAGTTGTGCTCACCTCTTCCTCAGAGGTCTCCGTGGTGTCTGTCTCTGTGTGTCGATGTCCGTCACTGTCTTAGTGGGTCTGCTAACTCCCTCTGTCTTTATCAGTGTCTGTATGAGCCTCAGTGTGTCTCTCTGTCTCTGTGTCTCTATGTCTCGGACTCTCTATGTCTCGGACTCTCTGTGTCTCAGACTCTCTGTGTCTCTCTGTCTCTCTCTCTGTCTCTGTGTCTATGTCTCTGTCTCTCTGTCTGTCTCTATGTCTCAGACTCTGTGTGTCTCTGTCTCTATGTCTCAGACTCTGTGTCTCTGTCTCTGTGTCTCTCTGTCTCTAAGTCTCTGTGTCTCTCTGTCTCTATGTCTCTGTCTCTCTGTGTCTCTGTCTCTATGTCTCAGACTCTCTGTCTTTATGTCTCTCTCTGTCTCTATGTCTCAGACTCTCTGTGTCTCTGTCTTTATGTCTCTCTCTGTCTCTATGTCTCCGAGTCTCGGAGTCTCCGCGTCTGCCTCTGTCCCCGCGTCTGCCGCTTCAAATCGCGCCACTGCGTCACGTGATGACTCCCCACCAATGGGTGTCAATGTGTGAGCACAAGTGCAGTTCAGAATGCCAGATAAGAGAGATTACCTCTAGATCTGGGGTGGTGCTGGGGTCAGGTGAGAGGGATTACCTCTAGATCTGGGGTGATGCTGGTGTCAGGTGGGAGAGATTACCTCTAGATCTGGCGTGGTGCTTGTGTCAGGTGGAAGGGATTACCTCTAGATCTGGCGTGGTGCTGGTGTCAGGTGGAAGGGATTACCTCTAGATCTGGCGTGGTGCTGGTGTCAGGTGGAAGGGATTACCTCTAGATCTGGTGTGGTGCTGGTGTCAGGTGGAAGGGATTACCTCTAGATCTGGTGTGGTGCTGGTGTCAGGTGGAAGGGATTACCTCTAGATCTGGCGTGGTGCTGGTGTCAGGTGGAAGGGATTACCTCTAGATCTGGCGTGGTGCTGGTGTCAGGTGGAAGGGATTACCTCTAGATCTGGTGTGGTGCTGGTGTCAGGTGGAAGGGATTACCTCTAGATCTGGTGTGGTGCTGGTGTCAGGTGGAAGGGATTACCTCTAGATCTGGCGTGGTGCTGGTGTCAGGTGGAAGGGATTACCTCTAGATCTGGTGTGGTGCTGTTGTCAGGTGGAAGGGATTACCTCTAGATCTGGTGTGGTGCTGTTGTCAGGTGGAAGGGATTACCTCTAGATCTGGTGTGGTGCTGTTGTCAGGTGGAAGGGATTACCTCTAGATCTGGAGGCGCTGGCGGTGGTGTTTCTGTACGAATTTGAGTGCCGCAATCACGACCAACAACAACAATAATAACAGCGGAGGGTGTTGAAGGCGGGCACTGGGCTTCTTCCCCAGTCTCAAACGAGTGCTGCGGTGTGCCAGCAACGGGGCGTGGTGCTGTCCACCCACCACCACCACCACCTCGTGTACCGGGTCACCGGCTGCTGCTCGCCGACAGCTCTTGCCCCAGCAGTATCCTAAAGGCTATACGGGGGGGGGGGGGGGGTCTTTACTTTTGTTCCGGAACAGGGGCGAGATGTTATCTCCCTCTCCGGGCCCTGCGGCGGTGTTCCCCTGTTTCATTTTCATTTTTTAGGTACTAAGCTTTATTACCCGGCTTCGCCCGGGACTTGGATTCACGACGCCCGGCCGCCTTTGTCTCCCCAGTGGCGATGTTCACACAGCAAGGCAGTTACTCGTTTGAGGCTGAGTCAACCTAGGGGAGGCCCAGGACCGGTTCAAATAATCGTCACCGGTGGTGGCCCGTGAGCGGGAATCGAACTCGGGTGGCCGGGTTCGTAGCGGGGCGCGCTAACCACTACACTACAATGCGTTACGCTTCCACACACACACACACAGACACACACACAGACAGACACATACACAGACACACAAACACACACAGACACATACACACATACACAGCGCGCTAACCACTCCACTACAATGCGTTACGCTTCCACACACACACACAGACACACACACAGACACATACAGACACACACAGACACACACAGACACATACACAGCGCGCTAACCACTACACTACAATGCGTTACGCTTCCACACACAGACACATAGACAGACACATACACAGCGCGCTAACCACTACACTGCAATGCGTTACGCTTCCACACAGACACACACACAGACACACACACAGACACATACACAGCGCGCTAACCACTACACTACAATGCGTTACGCTTCCACAGAGACACAGACACACAGACAAACACAGACAGCGCGCCAACCACCACACTACAATGCGTTAACGCTTCCACACAGACACACACACAGACACATACACAGCGCGCTAACCACTACACTACAATGCGTTACGCTTCCACGTGCGCGGGTCACGTGACAGATTTGACGTCACAGCTCACTTGCCGTGCAAAAAATAAATGCATTATTGAGCTCCCCCCCCCCCCCCAAAAAAAAAGTTAATTTTCATAATTGTTGCATGGTGTACAGTCTGGAAAGTACCCACATGGCAAATGTCAAGTTTGTTGCATGTTGGGAAGTACGCTAAACATTTTGAACAGACACACATAATCACAACTTTGCCTTTTATATATATGGGGATAACCCTGTGAGCCATGCGGCTCTTGACTCGGGTGCAACTCGCAACAAAACAAAAACACGAACAAGAAAACATCTTAAAGTGACTACGCGCAACGGACACATCCAGGAAAAAACAGCAAAAGTCTTCCAGAAAAAAAATATTTAAACGCTGTGTGCAAAAATCCCAGTGGGATGCAAGTCAAACAATAACAACCATAAGACAATTTATATTAAAGTTATCAGGCTAACTCTGTACTACAACAAACAAACATGGCTCAACCAAAAATTTCAAAATCACCAAAATAAAGCTATAAAAACAATGTAACAGTGATCATAGGAACTGTGATTCAAATGTAACAATAAACGATACACATAACATGTACGACCAAATTTTGCGGCCATAGCTGGCTGCATGAGTCACTTAATAACAGCAGGAGTATCAGTAGAAGTATCACAATTTTTCAATACATTTCCACGCGATGAGCCGCTTCTTTGAGCTGTTAATTCGTGGCAGCCAAGGTCGCTCGTGAGAGAGGGCAAAAAAGCCATACAGCTCAGTGGGCTTTACCTGGTGAAATTAATTTGTAGTTTTTAGCACAGCAGTTTGACACGGGAATCCACTCGACCACAGGGAGAGAGGCACGCGAACTCCAAATATGTAAAGCCGGGATTTTCAGGTAGGGGGGGGGGGGCAACCCCTCCAGCAATGAAAAATTAAAGAGGAGTTGTTAGTAAGTAAGGACTTGTCCCTTGCTTCTTATTCAACGCGTGTGCGGCGATGGCGCAGCCATCGATCGAGGGTCGAGTTCGAACCGCGTCGTGTGATCAGCACCGCGCTCACTGAAGGTGTTGATGCCTTCAGGGAAGTCGTGGACTGTATACGCAACTGCACACAATTCTGTGAGTCGCTTATAACTAATTTGCCGTTACTTATCGCCAATTATGGACAATTGTCCCATCATTTCATAGAGTCCCTGGCATGTAATAATATGCTACACAGTGGCAGTGAGGGTCGCAAAATGCCGATTTATTACTAATAAACCCCAATGATCGGATCATTGGGGGGGCACGTGCCACCCCATCCCCCCCACTGGCTCCGCCAGTATCATGGAACCGTCGACCAGTTGAGGAGGAGGTGAACGTCTCGTCACCGCGGCCACGGAACTTCGGTGTTTACTTTCGCCATGTCCGTGAAGAATTTAATTTGCTTGCTTCCCACCAATACTGTTCACGGAAATCGGGACAGTGACCAGGAACCGTGACTCAGGACCGTGCGACTCGTGTCTCGGGGACCGGGACCGTGACCAGGGACCATGACCCGGGACCGTGACTCGGGACCGTGACCCAGAGCCGTGACCTGGGGCCTCGTTCTGCACCGATGCCTCGCAATGGCTCCAACGTCCCCTCAATCGTTGAGCACGGCCTTTCTGGAACGCACTCTCCGAACGCACTTAACATGAACGGCTTCACCGTCACTGCATGAAATGTCCAATACCGTCCCTGAACACGAGGACATTTAGAACGTTTTGGATTTTTTTTACCATCGCAGGGTTGGGTTTTGCGATTTGTCAAAAAACGTTTGACTCAAATCTGTCAACACGCGATTCAAATAGCCTCATTGTTATCGTTTCATCTTGGGTGGGCAGCAGAGTTGTCGACTGTTGCTTGCTGCCAAACCCCGAGGCGTATTTTGGTTTTCCGGTTCCCCTCCGTTCATTTCTTTGGGCTGTTTTGTTGTTACGGCAAAAATGATAACATCCAAGACCTATTGGCGGCCTGTTACCGACGCTGCCTCCTGGCCTTTGGCCTGGGCTTCTTTTCACCCGTGGAGGACTCGACCAGGCCCTGCCCTGACCCCGTTAGTGGCGCTTAGAACTGGGGCCTTGGGTCGCCACTTCTCCCGTGTTTGACCCGGACAGTCTCCGACTCACCTGGTGACTAAGAGAGAAAGAGATAATCACTCTCCCAACTCACCAGGTGAATGAGAGACAGAAAGAGATAATCGCTCTCTGACTCAGAAGGATGCTAACTTTCAGGGATAATAAACAAGGTGAGAAAACCAATATAATGCAGATAGGTGCAACGCTAAAACTCGTGAAAATATATATAAAGGCGGAGGTTCGATTTCTTGGACATGGCATGAGAAAACAAGAGACTGAATTTTATGTTTTGACGGAAAAATCATCGGTACAAGAAGCTGGGGAAGACAGCGAATTAACTTACGTAAGCGGTCTGATCAATGCAAGGTTGCTGAGCAAATATAATGGACAGAGCTAAATTGAGAAAGGCCATGATCGCAGGCATCTTTGAGAAAGGACATCATGGCACACAGAGAGTGGCAGGAATGGATATGTACCGAGATTTGGTTCCAGTATTGCTCTGCGTACGTACGTTGAACTTCTTTCGCACCGTACGTAGCCAACCACGCTAATCGGAGGTGCGGGGGAAGGACAACAAAACTAAACACAGAAAGCAGTTCTAAATGAATGAATTTTTAATTGCGATTTAAAAGTGCATAGCTACCTATGGCTCCCTCATATCGGAAGGAAGCGCATCTGAAAGCATGCGGTGTCCGAGCCGGTCTTGGTTCGATGGCCAGCCAAAAGCCGCCGTGAGGGTGAGCGGCGTTTGCGTGACGCTTTATGCTCCTCGACGCAAGAGGTATCGTGGATCATTTGTGAAACTCAATGAGAGTGAATAGGCCCAGGCTGAGCGAGAAGCGTGTCTAGGCTTGCTCTGCAGTGGAGAGAACGTGGCCACCCTGGCGTCTTGAGATGTCGCTGTTCGTGTACCAATTAAAATTCTTCTTAAATGTTCAGCATGCTCAAGATGTTTACATCTATCTGGCCACTACTGCTGCACATGTAAAAACAATTGCACAAACACTTAACAAGATGTATTTATTTCTTTTTAAGGACACATTCCATGAAAAATACCAGAGTGAAAAGTCTTCTGAGCATAATGGCACCAGTAACAAACAAAAAAACTGTTGAAAATATAAAACATGTAACACCCAACAAAATAGTAATCTTAAAAATACTGTTTAGATTTTTTTTAAACATACATTCCATAATTTAAGAGTAAATAATTAAATTTGTTTTAAAGATATGGACAGAAAGAATTATAGTTTTCTTAATCTTAACACTGTTCTTAAAAAATATGTAAATCAAAATAATGTATTGGTGTATGTACAAAAGCTTGCTCTTCTGGTAGAAATAGTAAATCTGCGGTAAACGAGGTACGAGCAGGCCAGGGATCAACACCTCCTCCTCACGCTGCTCCCTGCAAGACAAACCCCAGCGGCGTGAGGCTGGGCACGAGCAAAATCCTCGCAACAATCGCACGGCTTCCATTAGTTGTCCACACAGCGAGCGAGCATTCAAGGGGTTTTTATATGCCAGAAAATATTTCCGTGTTCGATAAGGAATGCGCATAAAACTTCCCCATTTCTTGGATGCTAAACTAAAACTAAACTATTTTTTATTTTACCAGTTAAGGCCCACTGAGCTATGTAGCTCTTTTTCAGGAGCGACCTGGCCACAAATGATAGCACAATGCAGTGGCTTATCATGCAGAAAATGTATAGCAGCCAAATAATCTAAATGAGGACCCCGAGAAAAATCCTCACGACCACAGGGAGAGAGACATGCAAACTACAAATATACAGCAGCAGGCGTCAGGTAAGGCCTACATAGCTCTGGACTTTTCCTGGTAGAATTAAAATTGTTTTTTATAAAAGTTTTTCAATGGCCTGCTCCTGCGAATGACATGAAGGGATCTTTAACGTCCCCTGTGAAGCTGACAGTGCGTCGTATTATTACCAGGGTGGCCATTCGATTCGAACCGCGAACCTCTGCAACAAGCGGCGAACACGCTACTGACTGCGAGGTCACATCACCTTCTCAAAGAGATTCTAATCCGGCAGGCCGGTCCTGGTTAACGCCGCCGGCGTGTATTGACCAGAACGCAAACAGCCTGCTTCAGAGTGGACATGAGGGTCCCGGCGACATCATTACCAGGAGAGGAGGCCGTTGTTGCGTGACGTCTTCACGCTCCGAATTGGGAAAGAAAAAAACCCTCGCAAATCGCTTCATTGGGAAATACGCGCGGCAACCGTCGTCACCCGACTAAGAGCAGGGCATCTCCTGCAATAGAGTCCTGAGACTTTCCTGGGCAAACGTGCGCGGTGACAATGATGATGCGCGATTCACGAACGACATCTCCTGCGTGATGGCACGGCGGGCGATCGCCCCCCACATTACCTGGCTCTGCGGCGGGCGGTGGCCCAGTCTGTACGGGTACAGCACCGCGATGCCCACAAAGCTGAGGATGATGGGAGCCGGAGCCATGAGAACTTGAAGTGTGAGCATCACATTCTTGGGCTGCTCCACTCCCCGTGGCACGTACCCAGCGAAGCTGCGCACACACACACACACACGTGCGTGCGCGTGAGTTCACGAGCCACTCATGGCTACACGCCTTCTCTAAGTAGCAGCTGAAACCTCCGGAAATGCTGTGAAATGTGTCAAGATTCAGGGCTGTGCTGAGAATCAAGAATCAATTGATTGTCTCGTTTTTACCATCTAATTGTTATTGTTTGTTAGTTTAAAAAAAAAAATATCTGACCTATGTTTAGTCTGGCCCGTGTCTAGTCTGGCCCATGTGTGTCTGGCCTGTGTGCAGTCTTCCCCGTGCGTGCCTGGCTGCGCCTGACTGGCCGTGCGTGCCTGGCTGCGCCTGTGTGGCTGCGCACGTGTCTCTATCCTAACAGTCACCTAAGGCAGAGGTTGGAGATGCCCAGGGTGGCCCCCACTGCGAACTTGTTGAAGAACACGAAGAAGGAGTAGAAGAGCGCCTCCTGGCCCGGGTAGTCTCCGTGGCGCTGCCGGAAGTCCGTGATGGTGTCCGGCAGCATGGACCTGCAGGCGGACACGACGAGTCATGGTGAGTCGTGATGAGACGCGGCGAGATGCGGCGAGACACGGCGAGTCGCGACGAGTCACGAAGAATAACGGGCGGGCGAGGGTCCGCCGCCGAGGTGGTGTCGACGCGGTGGGCCTTACCAGGGCAGGAACGACGCGGTGGCCACCGTGATGCCCGACGCGGCACACACCACGAACGCCAGCGGGTCGCTGCTCGGTGCCAGTACGATGGTGATGAGGAACGGTATCCACCACTGCAGCGCACAGGTGAGCACAGGTGGTTGTACAGGTGGGTACAGGAGTGCGCACAGGTGGGCACAAGATCAACACACACTACGATCACGATGCGCACCGCGTAACACACGAAGCGTTTGAAAATTCTAAAATAGTAAAACCCAGAACAGGCTCCCGCTCAGACACAGAGCTGCTTCAGCAAGCAGCGATCTGCCAGATTCGGTGCCACGCGTTGCCCTCTCGGCTCATTTAGACCTCTCATTAATGCTCGTAGACACGACGTCTGGCCGGGTCGGGGCGGGTCAGGGCAGGTCGGGGCGAGTCAGGGCGGGTTGGGTAAGGGCGGATCAGTGCGGGTCGGGGCAGGGCAGGGCAGGCGGGTCAGGGAGGGTCACCCACCTGCAGAGGAAGGAGAATGGAAACAAATCTACAAAAATATGAGCCGGAAACGAGCCGCGTTAGCGGTGTCAACGCCGGGGGGCATGCGAGCGAGCACATACCAGCATTCCGAAGATGATCATGTTCTTCTTCTGAATCCTCTTGAGCATCCACTGGCTGACGGGCAGGAAGAGCACGGCAGACACCTGCAGGCAGCGAAGCGGGGCGGGAGCGGACGCCGTTAATCACGCGCGCCGAGCTTCGCAAGGGTCACCGGCGACGAATGCGATCGTCATCACCGCACTGGAAGATTCGCTGCTCTGAATTCACTTCTCTGTTGTTGTTATCAAGGTGGTGACACAGGGAAACAGTGTCCATACATTAAGTGGACAGTGGGTCTTATGACTGAATATATTAACACAAAGACGGTCACTGCACCGCGCGCTTTCGGATGCGCTTCCGCGGACATCTGAAAAGCTCTTCTTGCCAATATTAGGAAGTCACTGGAGCCATGCACGTTTAAATCATCATCTAGATTGACAAACTCTTTTGTGTTTAGTTTGTTGTCCTTCCCTACGCACCTCCGACGAGCACGGTTGGCTACGTACGGCACGAAAGAAGTTCAACATACACACACTCAAACCTAATCGTGATAAGGAGCACTCGGGAGCGAGGCCTCAGCTTTCCTCAATGTAAAACGCGATTAATGGGGCTGCACACGCGCTCAGGCACAGGCAGCGGACTCCAGCGTGGTGCCAACCGCGGTGCCGTCTGAATCGGCGCCGCTTGCTTCACGAACAGAGTGTGGGGCACTTGACCGGACGAGATGAAGGCGCGCGGCCTTCCAATAAAAACCACAAGAGAGGTTGTTGGGTCAGATACCGTCAAAATAAACGTGTTGTTAAACCCGCCACCACCCGACACAGCCAATTAGTAAGGTTAGTCACGTAAAAAAAGCGTGCCAATTCGTTACTAGTTCAGCACACCGGTGTGTTGGAGAGTAAAACCCATAATATTAACCCACAGGATTAACGCGAATGTCACTTGTCAAAAAAACGCACTTGGGGTGCGGCGATCGAGTTTTAAGGCAAAAGAAGCCATGCGTGGTGATGTCCGTCAGTCCGTCCGCTAGACGGCCCCATTGAGGAGCGCCTGCCGGGAGCGACAGCTCATTAGAGCGTGTTGTGTCGCTACTGTGAGCAGGGAACGATTCTCGTTGCGAAGAAGGGCAGAGTTGCTCGACATGAACGCGTTCAATTTCGATTTAAAGCTTTCGTGACTGCAAGGATTCATCTTCTTTGGTTCTTTCGGTAAAGTCACGTAGAATGAGAATAATATAATAAATTAATAAAATAAAATAACCCAATAAAATCCTCGAGACAGTCTCGTCCCTTCACCTGATGAAGGCCACTTGTGTTGTGGCCGAAACGTCGTGAGAATTTTATTGTGTTATTTTATTTTATTAATTTATTATTTTATTCTCATTCCACGTGACTTTACCGAAAGAACCAAAGAAGATGAACGCGTTTGTATTATTTGTCAAGATTCGCCGAAGGAAAGAGCGGTGGCACTCCGGGTAAAGGGGGAATTTCAACTCTAGTTTCTCTCTCGCTCACCTGGCCTGCAAGCTGCTGCCGCTACTGCTGCACAGTGCGGGGACGAGGCGACACGGGGAGGGAGACAGAGAGAGGGGGTGGGGGGGGGAGCACCGCTGGGAGGAGCGTGCGGAGCGCGATGCGGCCACGGGGAGGCAGTGCGAGCCTGCGCGGGGCCCGCCGGGGGCCTCGCCAACGCCGGGAGCGCCGCAACGCGGCTCCTTGGCAAGACGCCGGCAAAGTCTACGAGCGGACCGCCTCCACCCCCTCCCCCCCTCCCGCGTCCGTCCCTTCACTGACAAAAGTTTTTGTCTTTTTACACATCCCACCAGCCGCACAGCCTTATGGGAAATTATGCACCTCCCAGAAGGCCGTGTAGTGGCTGATGTAGTCCTTAAAGCATACTTTTGCATGCGTAAGCCAGACATGCGGAGGCGCAGTGTCTGCTCACCAACGAAGTTCGTTCTCCGCATTGACGTGCGTGATTACTCGGTGTTAAGACGCTGAGGGGTCGAATGCAGCCCAGTAAACTGCGCAGGAACACATGTGATGTTAACTCCCTCGCCTGGTATGCCGGAGATCGTGGGTTCGATCCCGACCCTGACACCTGACGCCTGTATATTTGGAGTTTGCGTCTCTCTCCCCGTGATCGCGTGGATTTTTCTCCGGGTCCTCCAGTTTTTCCCTCCACATTTAGAATCAACGTCATGCGTTTAGAGTATTTGACTGCTATACATTTCCACACGATGATAAGCCGCTTTGTTGAGCTCTCATTTGTGGCCAGGTCGCTTCTGAAAAAGAGCTACATAGCTCAGTGGGCCCCACCTGGTAATATGAAAAGTTTACAGTTTTAGTTGATCGCAACCTGTCTGTGACGGGTTTTATAATCCAAACGAGTGGCACGCGGCGGCACCGAGTTCTCAAATTACATCAAAGGATGAAAGTTCACAGCCCAAGCATCTGCCCGACCAATCGTCTCTCTGTGCGCCAATCATAAAATGAGCGCGACGGTCGGCAGTGGCTGCCCTACAGCTTGGACGCGAGGCTTCCAACCGTGGGCTTAGGCTATCGGTGGCGACGAGCAGAGCCCCAGACAGACACTCGGAGGTGTCACAACTGCAAACCTCTAGGCACTGTTCACCAATGCAGGTCGCAGGGTCCCCAGCGCCAAAGCCCTCGCGTGGCAACGTCCTCAACCCTCGCGTCCCACTCCGGCGTCTTTACGGAGCGCAGTGAGTTCCACGCACGGCCCTTCCGGCGTCCTTTACGACGCCACGCATGGCAACGTTCCAGCTTCATAAAATATATAACCGTGAAAACGACACGACCTTTGAATGTCTCCCGATCTGGGTCTGTGGGAAGCTATGGTGGTGAGATGTCAACTACCTCGCCGATATACAGGAGGTCATGGGTTCGACCCTGACACCTGTTTTATATTTGGAGTTGGCGTGTTTCCTCTCCCCGTGGTCCCGTGTATTTTTCTCCAGGTCCACTGGTTTTTCCCCTCCACATTTAGAATCAACGCGACAAGCCACTTCATTAAGTTATCATTTGTGGTAGCCAGGTCGCTTTTGAAAAAGAGCTCGGTGTGCCTAACCCGGTAAATAAAAAAAAACTGTTTATAGTTTTACAGAACCGGATCAGCAGTACAGCCGGCAAGCCTACAGGCTGCTGGGGGCGCGACCTGCCTGGGACACCGCGTGACGCACGATCACCCCGATGAGGCCACCACCACCACTTATGCGTGGGTACTCCGTAATACGCGTGGTAGATTTAATGTGGACGTATGGCGGCGCTTGCTTGGCCTTACCAGCACGGTGATGACCATTATCTGGAACTTCCCCTTCATGCACAGCACGTGCTCGAAGAACAACGCCAGGTTCCCCTGCACCAGCTGGGGAGGGCACGGGACAGGGGGACGGTGGGGTCAAGGGTCGGGCGTTAACCCTCAGAGCAGCGCGGGGGCTCTCCGCGGGAGATGGAGGAGCCCCCCAGCGGTCAAGCCGAACCATCCTGTCACAGTTGTTGAGCACACGAGCAACAAACAGCGCTAACACAGCAGCCTGGGGTCACACGACGCACAGCAGCCTCGCCCTGGGGGTCACATGACACAGCAGCCTCGCCCTGGGGTCACATGACACACAGCAGCCTCGCCCTGGGGTCACACGACGCACAGCAGCCTCGCCCTGGGGTCACACGACGCACAGCAGCCTCGCCCTGGGGGTCACATGACATACAGCAGCCTCGCCCTGGGGTCACATGACACACAGCAGCCTCGCGCTGGGGTCACATGACACACAGCAGCCTTGCCCTGGGGTCACATGACACACAGCAGCCTCGCCCGGGCCACTGTTGGTTGTCATAAACGTCAAGCGAGCGTGTAAAGCAGTGGTTCTTAACCTTATTGGAGGTACTGAACCCTGCAAGCTTCATCAGTGCATTCACCAAAACCTTCGTAATTGGAAAAATAAAATATTATTACTTCAAAACATGCAGTGAAGCCGAATGGAAGGTATTCAACACAACAACAACAACCGCCGTTCACCACCAAGTGGCGGTGACGTCACCACGGCGCTTGTGCCAGGCTAGGTGCACGCGCGATGGCGCCCGCCCGGATTTGACGCAGGAATTGCCGTGATCGCCGATGAGGCGGCAGGAGTTGATTGGGCCCAAGATCTGCCACCGCTGGCACCGTTGTCGTGTTGAACTTTTTTTTTATTGCGGCAAGTGCACGATCTCCTCGTCCCCGGTGTGACTGTCGGTGGTTAAGGTGACCTCTTTCCTGCCAATAAAACTCAACGTGTTTGTCGACAATGATCTACTTCCTGCCGAGGGTTACACGTGACTGTGGCGTGACGAGAACGCGACGAGGTTGGCGCGACGAGATTGGCGCGACGAAGTTAGCACGACGAGGAGCAGAGAGGTCGCAGGGGTGGGGGGGGGGCAAGGAGGAGGAGGCGCCGGCGTGTCACCTGCAGCGCGATGGAGGTGCTCACGTAGCAGCCCATGAGCAGCAGGTAGGGCCTGTAGGTGAAGATGCGGCGCATGCGGCGGTGCAGCGACAGGCTGCTGGGCCGACGGTTGAGGTTGGGCGAGTCTGCGCAAGACAACGCGAGAGCCGCGTGAGTGAGTTAGAGTGTGAGTGAGTGAGCATGTGAGTGAGCGTGTGAGTGAGTGAGTTAGAGTGTGAGTGAGTTAGAGTGTGAGTGAGTTAGAGAGTGAGTGAGCATGTGAGTGAGTTAGAGTGTGAGTGAGTTAGAGTGTGAGAGTTATAGAGTGAGTGAGCATGTGAGTGAGTTAGAGTGAGTTAGAGTGTGAGTGAGTGAGCGTGTGAGTGAGCGCGTGAGTGAGTGAGCGCCGTGTGAGTAAGTTGGAGTGTGAGTGAGTGAGCATGTGAGTGAGCGCGGTGTGAGTGAGTGAGCCCGCGCGCTGTGCGTCATCGAGCGCCACTGCCGACGGCCGCAACGTTCTGACGCGCACACCAACGGCCAAGGCACATTCGGCAATGACACCGTAGCCTTGACGGGAACGCGACTGCACAATTAGCCCCTTTCTCCGTGGCATGTCGAAGGAGGGTCACTGCCATGAACGTTGTCGCCTCTTTCGTATTTTTCCTCAAGGCCACGAGGAACGTGCACTCATTGCACGCACAAAGTGCTCGCAAAAAGTGAACCACGAAATCTCGTTGACCATCGCGTACACTCTGGCCATCCTCGCACCGGCGGCTTTTGGCTAACCATCGAACAAAGACGGTCACCGCCACGCGCGCTTTCAGATGCGCTTCTCCGGCCGTCTGGAACGCTCTTCCCTCCGATATCAGTTAGCCACTGGAGAGATGCACTTTTAAATCTAGATTGAACACTCGTTTCTTTAGAACTGCTTTTTGTGTTTATTTTGATGTCCTTCCCCCCGCACCTCCGATTATCGTGGTACATCTACGTACGGTACAGAAGAAGTTCAACATACAGTACATCCAGTGGCGGGTCGTTGTTTGTGCGGGACAAAGTCATTTGTTTCCCCGCATACAAAACCGCAGGGAGCAACAAGTCAAGCGGAACGTACTGGGCCATGAAGGCAGTCACGAGCGACTGAACAAATAACCACATTCACGTGTCGCAGGTTGAAGGACACTTTTATATATTTACGTGATCCAACCCAAAAAACCTGGATCACTGTCATTATTTGTGCTCGTGTTGAACCAATGCTGCTGAAAATGATGCACTCCCAGAAAGGTCTGCGTGGCTGATGGGACGAGTAAAAGATTTTTGCATTTGAGTTTTTTTTTTATCACGCGGAGGCACAGAGATGGGAACGAGGCGTCTCGTCCGCCGCCGTGATGAGAACGCAGCGGGAAGGGGGCAGGCTCCTTAATAACTGACGAGGAGAGTAAGAATCAAATGAAAATTCGTGCAGGTGGAGAGTACGTACGGCTTCGTGTGTGTACACTTGCGTTGTGTTCACTAGCAATGCAGTTCCGATTAAATCTAAATGACAGGATCGGTGGTGTAGGGATCAGCGCTGCTCTGCACTACGAAGCCGGCGACCCGAGTACGATTCCCGCTCGCGGCCAACACCGGTGACGATTATCTGAACAGGTCCTGGGTCTCCTCTAGGTCGACTCAGCCTCAAATAAGGCGGCCGGGCGTGGTGCTGGCCGCCAACCCCCTCATGTGCCGTGCCGGCCTTTGTAGGTGCTCGCTAGCAGCACTTGCCCCTACAGTCTGTGCAGGCTACACGGGGGATCTTTGTCTTTGTCACGAGCAACGCAATTCCAATGAAATGTCAACGACGACGTTGAGTTGCCGCGGCTGCGGTCTCGGCGTAACGAGACGCCGAAGCTACGATCCGTACGCACGGCGCGGACAGCACACGCGGTGGCCTGACAGCGAGGTGGGAGGCGACGTGCAGCCGGGGGAAGTCTCGCGCCGGAGAATGAACGACGGAGCGCTGAGCGTGCACCTCTCCCCGTCTTAATTCTAGCTCCTCCTGTCAGGATCAGCGCCCCCTCGACTCCGCCGCGCGAGGTGGGAGGCTGCCCCCGCTGGGGTTACTGCCCCCTCTGGCCGGGGACACGGGGACACGGGGACACGGCAGCCCCCCAGCCCCCCACCCTCCCCCGTGCGGCCGACCCGGCGGAGCGGCAAACTCTGCGCTGTTATCGCCCCCGCCCCCCCCCCCCCCCCGCTGCGGTTTGTTATCCGGCCGCTTTCCTACGCCGTGGGGACGAGGAGCCTCTCCACGCGCACCGCCCCCACTTCCCCTCCCCACGAGGTGGTTCTTCTCGACCGCGCGGGATCATCGGTTCGAGCCGACCCCCCTCGACGGGGATTTGAACTCGGAACCTCCCGGCTGCGAAGTCACTCGCTCACGCGCTTGACCGACGAGAACAGCGGGAGCAGGGTGAAGAGAGCGAGCGGAGGGAGCGGAGGCCTTGCGGGGGGCCGTGCGCCGCCACGGTGACCGACCCTTGATCTCGCGCACTCCCAGGAAGAGGACGATGATGCACGCCAGGTAGATGCTGCCGATCACCACGGCCGCCGTCTTGTAGGCTTCCACCAGGGAGGCCTGCGCACCCAACGCACGCACGCAGCGGACAGAGCGGAAACGCCAGCGTCGACACGCACGGCCGCACGACGGCGCAGCCTCCGCGGCTTCCAGGGCCCGTGAGGTAGCCGCACCCCCCCCCGGCACGCACCTCGGAGGCACCGCCGCCGCGTCGCCACTCCGCGTCGCGACCGCGATCGCGACGCCGCGTGTTTGGCCACGTGCGCGTCAGTGGGCATCCCCGCCCCAAGGGATTCTCCGGGTGAAATATTCGAACGCGACGACCGAGCGCCAACTGGCCGTGCTCCGCAGGCGGAACCGGGGCATTCGCCTCGCGTTCGCCTCAAACTCGAGCTCGGAGGAGGGGTTCACGCGAGCAACGCGGAGCCTCGCTCGGCGCTCGGCTGGGGTGCGGCCCGGCGCAGCTCACGGAGGCCGGCCGAGGGGGGACAGGGGACGCCGCCAACGTCACACGTCGGCGGAATCACCGCCACGCTCACCGCCATCGCGCTCGGCAAGGCGCCGGCACGGGGGCAGGCTGCGCGCGGCACCCACCGGGCACGGCCGCACGGACACTCAACACCGCACGCACGCACGCACACACACACACATTCCTCCCGCCAGCATGAAGCATCGCCCGCGTGCCTTCGTTTGACATCTTGGACCTGAAGGCACGCCCGCTCAGTTTCCAAGAATAAATGTCTCACGCTGTCTCGCTCTCACTCGGAGAAAGTCCCGGCGGCGGCAGCAGCAGCAGCAGCAGCAGGAGCAGCAGGTGGCGGCACGTGCCAACTTGTCGGCTCGGCAAAGAGACTTTCTCTGGGACGTAAAAGCAGCACATCCCTGCAAACGGTCACGGATACTGATATCGTGCACGGGCCACCGACACCGTTCCGATGGCGCAGGCTGCCATGACGGCGCTGTGGGGGCGATGTTGCTACGTGGTTTTACCGAATTTTTTTAATTTTGCCGGTGATTTTTCTAATTGAGACAAATCTGGACCATGCCACCGGCACACGCGGCCAGTTCTCTCTCTCACGTAACGTCACGGGCGGCGCGTGGCACTGCGTTAACCGACACGCCCGCGGTATTAACCAGGGCGGCCGCTGGGCTCGGACCATCAACCGCCAACAAAGCAACGAGTGCGCTCTAAAAATCGCTTTCTTCCGACGCTCCACCGGGGTTTAAACGCGCCACGACTCCCCGCTCGCGAGCGTCTTTGCGGGGAGAAACCCTTGGATGGGCAAGAGGAAGCGCCGCGTGCCTGGCGACGAGCCGTTATTTTTAGGAATGCGCCAAGCGACACCGCTTGCGTCCTCCGCGAGGCCAACTCCCTGTCGCTGGTTTCAAGCCGCGTATTTTTAAACGTTTTTTTTTTTGGTTGGTCTTATTTTATTAGCCCAGGCGCTCGCTCGCTCGCTCGCTGACACGTTTAGCCGGCAAAGATGCTAAAAACGAAATCCGTGTTCATAACCAAGGGTGCGGTATTCGGGTCTTGAACAAACTTTCCAGGACCTCTAACCTCCGCTGCCCGTCCACCGCTTCCCTTTCCTCGTCCGCTGCTAAAACCCCTTCTCCGTGCCTTCAGAACATCTGACTCTGACCACCGCCACTCTCAATTCCATGGCTTCCCCGAAAACCCTCTCAGCTCCAACCTCCAACGGACCTGGGATGGTCCACTGCAAGGCCACCTGTACACGTTACCCCGGCTCCCGGCTTCCTGCAACATCGCCTCAACTCCACAATCCCCATCGCCGTCGTCAACATCGTCGCCCTGAGCGACCCGTCTGGACGCTTCGTTTCACGTCGCCCCCCTGGCGTGCCCCCCCCCCCCGCCCTCCCCGGGCGGTGAAGAGGGCCGGCAGTGGCTGGCCCCCGGGTTATGACTGCGGGCGTAGTCACGGCGGTGATAGTAGAACCCTTCTCAACGGCGGTAATTAATTAGTTCCACAAAAAGGGTTATTTCGCGATTCGGTCGTTAAGCAGAGAAATCCATGTTCACGGGTTAATTCGTTCGGATAGCATCGAAAGTTACCCTTTTTCACCAAAATGAACGTACTTTATAATATTTAAGCAATGGATATTCATACATAAGGATACTAACAACATTATAATCACACGTGGTTAATCAATGCATTAATTAATATTTACTGTACCTGCAACAGCCCGTCGTTAACAGGTGAATGATCAGTAAGCGAATACATTGGGCTCTTTGGAGGCAGACTAATGCCCCAGGTCACTCTGGCATATGATTCTCAATCTGCTCTCTTGAGCTCACCCCTCGTGAATAAATAAAAAAATATCTCCAGCAGCCAAGGGGGGAGAGCCACAGTCAGCCTCTGCTCAACAGGAGGCCACGACTTCTCTGCTCCTGCAGCTGCCGCCATGGCTATTCCCTCCCCCCCCCCCGAATCACTGTGGCCAACGACTGCGTTAGGAATCTGGAGGGATCTCACTTATTCAGAACTTCCGGTGCAATTCTATAGATCTGAAGTGGTTCACGGATCGGGTCAAGCATTACGGAGGAGGACAGCTTTTTCACGCAACACGCGAACTCCGATCACCCTCGCAGCAGGTTTTTTGCCTGGCCATCGAACAAAGACGGTCACCGCATCGTGCGCTCTTCCTTCCGACATTAGGAACCCTCTGGAGCTATCCACTTTGAAATCTAAATTAAAAACTCGTTTCTTCAGAACTGATTTTTGTGTTTAGTTTTCTGTCCTTCCCACCGCACATCCAGTTATCACGGTTGGCTACGTACGGTGCGAAAGAAGTTCAAAAAACCACTTGCTTGCGTTTGTGCGATGCTCAGCAATTCACTTGCATAAGAATCCTATTTTACGTCGACCGCCACTTGGCGGTGGCGGAGGGTTGCCCGTGTCCCGTGTCCAGCACCGCCCCACGTGAGCCGGGACTGTGTGGCGGTGGCGCCGGCTGCGGGCCCTCACCCACCATGTCGTTGAAGGAGGAGTTGGAGGCGTTGGCGGCGTGCGGCGACGTGCACGTTCCGTTGCTCTCGATGATGCCCCTCGTGCCACCCTGCAGGCCGTACGCCTGCAGGATGAGGCCTTGCACCAGGGCCCCCACGAGAATGCCCACGAGCTCCAGCGTCATCCCTGCCACGGCGCCACGGGGGGAGTTCAATCGGAACAGTGCTTTCGGCCGTATTTATACATATTTTTTTTCTGCAGGTAAGTCCTGCTGAGCTATATATTATAGCTCCTTTTCAGATGTGACCTGGCCACAAATGAAAATGGCAGCAGCCAAATACTGTGAATGCGTGTTTCTTCTAAATGTGGAGGGAAAAATGTGGAGGGCCTGGAGAAAAATCCACGCAACCACGGGGAAAGAGAAACGCAAATTCAGGGTTGTATACCAGGCGAGGTAGTTAAGATCTCCTAGCCACCGTGGCTAGGAAGTTAACATCTCGCTACCCAGGAGAGCATCGCTGAGTCTCAATACTCTCTTTCGGGAGGGCCCTGCGTAGTTTTCGCAGGAGGGGGCGATGACTGCCGTGTGTTTCCCAACCAAGTCATTTGCAGGTGATTTTTCAAAACAGCCTACTCTACTTAGAATGACGAAATTAGACCCCTGACGTCTACTGTGAAGCAGGTGGCACGTAGTATATTATGGTTAATTTTCCCGGAGTATTAACCATGGCATAGCATATTATTGTAAATGTACGCGGAATATAAACTCCGGGTACGTTAACCATAAATTTACCAGGGCAGCCTGCAGGATTCGAACCGCGAACCTCAGCGAATGCGTCACGAACGCCCTGGGCGTCTCGCGGGCCGTAGCGGAGGGATGGGTGGGGGAGGGGGGGAAGGATGGGTGGGGGAGGGAGGGAGGGAGGAGGGGGATGCTTACTGTGCGCGGTGGCTGAGTCTCTTTCTTTGGAGTCGCGGCTCAGGAACATGGTCATGGCCGCGTACGGCACGTGCAGCGTCTGAACGCGAGGAGAGTGGGGCGCAGACAAGCAGGGCATGCGTCAGCGACCCAGCGTCGTTACGGCGCACGCGCGCACGGCTACGTTCGCACGACACCTTTTCTGACGCGCCCGACTGTTTGTGCTCGCTGGGTCAGCAGCGAGCACGAAAGTGAAGCCCGCCGGAGCAGCGGTTCCAAAAGTCGTGATCGGGCGAATTGCCCGATGATGCTGGATGTAATTACCAGCGAAACGTCGTACTCAAACTGTAAATGTTGTGGATTCACTCTTCAACACACCGGTGGGCTAAAGTAGTGAACTAATTGTCTTTTGTCAACATGACACTTTTTTGCTGATTGGCCGTGTCGGGTGGTGGAGGGTTACGACACATTTATACGTAACGCGATCTAACCCAAAAACCTTTATTATGAATAATATTGGTCGCGAAAGCCTACGTGTTAAACTGGTTCCAAAACTGTCTTGTGCCCGTGGACCAAGCTGATCTGCGGATGGGCACGCAGTGAACCAGCTGCTCCCGCCGTAGCGATCGACATTGCAGGTGCCACAAGAGTTACGCGGAGGCCTTCCCACGGCCTTGCCGGCCGGCGGACTGGAGGCCGGGGACCCGCTGCTCTTTTCACGACACTTTGTGATATATTTTTGTTACTGTTTTTATTTTACATGATAAGGCCCCACTGAGCTACGTAGCTCTTTTTCAGAAGTGACCTGGCTATCACAAATGATAGCTCGACGAAGTGGCTTATCACATGGAAATTTATAGCAGCCAAATGCTCTAAACGCATGATGCTGATTCTAAGTGTGGAGGGAAAAATCGGAGGACCCAGAGAAAAATCCACGCGACTACGGGGAGAGAGACACCGCAAATTCCAAATATACAGCAGGCGTCAGGGTCGGGATCGAGACCCACGACTTCCTGTACACCAGGCGAGGTAGTTAACATCTTGCGACCCAGGGGAGTCTCAAGCCTCTTTTTCAGGAGGATCCGCCATAGTTTTCGCAGCAGGCCCACGCACGATCATTGCACGGACGTGCGGTCTGCAGCGTGAGCGGTGAGCACGGCTGCAAGGTGACGGCGCCATCTGCTAACGGCTGCGATCCGGACGGCGCGGAGGAGGGACGCGGGGTGACTCACGTTGAGGAACGTCTTGAAGAGGCAGTAGGAGACCAGGTACCACCACACCTTGGAGGACGTTTCCATGTGGAAGTTGGGAACGTACCACAGCAGGAAGTAGAAAATTACTGCGAACGGCGTGGAGCAGACGATCCTGCGGTTGGAGACACACGGCACAGCAGGCGACCGAATATAGTGTGTTCTCCTATAACGCGGTAGTTGTGTTCTCCTATAACGCGGTAGTTGTGTTCTCCTATAGCGCGATAGTTGCGTTCCTGAAGAACACCACGTTATGGAAAAATTGCGTTATGATAAATAATGTAGGATAAAGCACAGTCCGTGATAACACGTGAAATGCGTACGCAGGCTGAACAAAGACCTAGGCGCGTGGGTAGCATCTAGAAGCATCCAGCAGCATCCCAATGCCTCGTGTGTGACGCTACGCCGAGGCAGCCGTGCAACCGCTCATCCCTACTACAACGCGATGAATGCGTGTTTGGCCGACTCCACTGTTGGGTGTCTATACACCCGGAGAACACCCAAAGGTTGGGTGGGGGGGAAACGCTCAATCCCCGTACAGATGGAATACTGATGGAGATTAAGCGGCGAGCTTGTGCTGGAATGCCGTGGTCAAGCCAGGAGGTGGCGCCTCTGGACACCCACGGGGCCCTGGGAGGGAGGGAGGGAGAGCAGCGCATGCTGGGCCCACATATGCCGGGGCACAGTTCCCAATCACAGGGTCGTGAATTAAAACCACCTCGGCCCATCGTCTCTCTCGCCGGGATCGTTCAAATGAAACGATAAAACTAAAACAACGTTAACTATTTTTTCTTTTACAAGGTAAGGCCCCACTGAGCTATGTGGGTCTCTTTCAGAAGCGCCCTGGCTATCACAAATGATAGCTCATCACAGTGCTTATTGTGTGGAAATTAATAGCAGCAGCCAAATACTGTAACCGCGTAATGTTGATTCTAAATGTGGAGGGAAAACCGGAGGACCTGGACAAAAATTTACGTGACCAAATATACAGCAGGCATCAGGGTCGGGATCGAACCCACGACTTCCTGTACACCAGGCGACGTAGTTAACATCTCCAAGCCACCATGGCACCCCAAGTGTTCACCACATTGCCGGGACTTCAACAGAGCGGTTATCAGTTGCAGACCTCCATCCACAGGAATGTGGCCCCTGCCTGCCGGCCAGGAGAACCGAAGTCAAAACCTCGTGTGGCTGTCCGGACGAACGGAGCTTCAGTTTGAAGAAGCGCAGAAGCGTGGAGCGCTTCTGGTGACAATCTCAAGGTGGTGAGGGCGTGAGCCGGGCACGAGCTCACCAACGCGTCCACTTTAGCCACGAGGATTCCGCTCGGTCCGGCCACTACGATCGAGGGACGTGTTTGCGTGTGGAGCTGTTGATCAGATTTGCTAACAGCGACGGGACTTAACAAAACTCGCTCAGGAACTCATTTTCTTAAGAAATGCTTTTCGTGTATAGTTTGTTGTCCTTCCCCCGCACCTCGGATTAGCATGGTTGGCTACATACGATGTGCGAAAGAAGTTCCACATACAAAGAAAGACAAAGATCCCCCATATAGCCTTAACAGACTGTTGTTAGAACTGTTAGCGAACACCTATGAAGGCCAGCACGACACACGAAAGGGTGGCCAGCACCACGCCCGGCCGCCTTTGTCTCCCCAGTGACGAATGTTAACACACCGCACTAGGTACTCATTTGAGGCTGAGTTCACCTAGGGGGAGGCCCAAGACCAGTTCACATAATCGCCAGGTTCGTTGAGCAGCGCGCTCCCCACACACGCACACGCACGCACAGGAACAATCGTCGGTGAGCCGACGCCAGCAACTGCCCAAGCTCTGCCGTCCCCTACGTGTTAACAAGCGTCCAGCCAGTCGATGATGAGCGTTCAGAAACCGGAGCGCCCGGAGAATGCCCGAGCCCGCACAAGGGGGCAACAGAGTTCCCAAAGCTCCCCGGGCGCAGTGGCAGCGCTCACAGCCTCACAGCAGAAGGGCCTGAGTTCAATTCCCCCTCTCGGGCACCTCTCTCTGCGTGGAGTTGGTATATTCTCCCGCCTCTCCCCCCCCCTGTTCTGAATGGGTTTCATACAGGTTCCTAGGTCTCAATCTATACCCCCCAACTGAGTGCTACTGGGTATTGCCCACGCGTCCCAATGCTAAGAAGGGAGTGATGGGATGTTTGTACAAATGTGTTTGCACGACCTTGTTCCTGCTTAGCCGGGGTTATGGGCACCTCGACGCCCATGGGAAAGGAGCTTGAACCCCGTTGATGTGATCCACGAACCCTCGATCGACTCAGTTTCTCAACGAATGAAGGTACTTGTGTCACTGTTAGGTATGTACACGCTAAACTATCCATAGAGTCCGTAATACAGGGGTTTTTGTTTGGGTTAGATCGCGTAAATATATAAATGTGTCATTAAACCCGCCACCACCCGACACAGACAATTAGTAAGGTTTGTTACGTCAACGGAACGTGGCCAATTCGTTACTGGCACAGCACACCGGTGTGTTAGAGAGTCAAGCCAGTAATCACAACTCGCTTCATCAGACGACAGACAAATATGGCTGTCGCCTGATGAAGCTAGTTGTAATTACTTGTGAAACGTCGTACTCAGATTGTCAATGTTGTGGCTTGGCTCTCCAATACACCGGTGTGCTGTGCCAGTAACGAATTGGCACGTTCTGTTTACGTGACAAACCTTACTAATTGGCTGTGCTGGTGGCGGCGGATTTAGCGACACATTTATATTTTTACGAGATCTAACTAAAAAAACAACCGTGTTATGGATAATATTGGTCGTGAAAGTCTACGTGTTAAACTATCCATGTCGTACCTTCAAACGAAAGTCACTTTGTTATGCTCTGCTGAATGAAAATTACAGACGAGCCGTGAAAAGTCAGGGCAAGGCACTGCATGATTTGCATTGGTATCGTGGGTGAGATGTGGCAAGCGTTGAGAGTGGCATACACTCAAACACGGGTTCATTCTCTGAGGCCAACACAAACATTTTGCCGAGGAGGGGGGAGAAGGAGGGATGGGACTGCGGGTGAGTTGAAGATTGTGTGCGGCGCGATTATGAAATGAGCCGCTCTTGGCGCAGACACGGTGCCGGGGCGACAGGGAACACCGCACGGGAACGTCACACGAGAATGTCACGTGAGAACGTCACACGAGAACGTCACACAGGAACGTCACACGGGAACATCGCACGGGAACACCGCATGAGAACGTCACACAGGAACATCACACAGGAACACCGCACGGAAACACCGCATGAGAACGTCACACGAGAACGTCACATGAGAACATCACACGAGAACGTCACACGGGAACGTCACACAGGAACGTCACACGAGAACGTCACAAGAGAACGTCACACGAGAACGTCACACGAGAACGTCACACAGGAACACCGCACGGGAACGTCACACAGGAACGTCACACGAGAACGTCACACGAGAACGTCACACGAGAACGTCACACGAGAACGTCACACGAGAACGTCACACGAGAACGCCGCACAGGAACGTCACGTGAGAACGTCACACGAGAACGTCACAAGAGAACGTCACACGAGAACGTCACACGAGAACGTCACACAGGAACACCGCACGGGAACGTCACACAGGAACGTCACACGAGAACGTCACACGAGAACGTCACACGAGAACGTCGCACGAGAACGTCGCACGAGAACGTCACACGGGAACGTCGCACGAGAACGTCACACGAGAACGTCACACGGGAACGTCACACGAGAACGTCACACGAGAACGTCACACGAGAACGTCACACGAGAACGTCGCACGGGAACACCGCACGAGAACGCCGCACGGGAACGTCACACGGGAACGTCACACGAGAACGCCGCACAGGAACGTCACACGGGAACGTCACACGAGAACGTCACACGGGAACGTCGCACGAGAACGTCACACGGGAACGTCGCACGAGAACGTCACGAGAACGTCACACGAGAACGTCACACGAGAACGTCACACGGGAACACCGCACGAGAACGCCGCACGGGAACGTCACACGGGAACGTCACACGAGAACGTCACACGAGAACGTCACGAGAACGTCACACGAGAACGTCACACGGGAACACCGCACGAGAACGTCACGAGAACGTCACACGAGAACGCCGCACGGGAACGTCACACGGGAACGTCACACGGGAACGTCACACGAGAACGTCACACGGGAACGTCACACGAGAACGTCACACGAGAACGTCACACAAGAACGTCACACGAGAACGTCACACGGGAACGTCACACGAGAACGTCGCACGAGAACGTCACACGGGAACGTCACACGAGAACGTCTCACAGGAACGTCACACGGGAACGTCACACGAGAACGTCACACGAGAACGTCACACGGGAACATCACACGAGAACGTCTCACAGGAACGTCACACGGGAACGTCACAGGAGAACGTCACACGAGAACGTCACACGAGAACGTCACACGAGAACGTCACACGGGAACGTCACACGAGAACGTCACACGAGAACGTCACACGGGAACGTCACACGAGAACGTCTCACAGGAATGTCACACGGGAACGTCGCACGAGAACGTCTCACAGGAACGTCACACGGGAACGTCGCACGAGAACGTCACACGAGAACGTCACACGGGAACGTCACACGAGAACGTCACACGGGAACACCGCACGGGAACGTCACACAGGAACGTCACACGGGAACGTCACACGGGAACGTCACACGAGAACGTCACACGAGAATGTCACACAGGAACACCGCACGGGAACGTCACACAGGAACGTCACACGAGAACGTCACACGAGAACGTCACTTGAGAACGTCACACGAGAACGTCACACGGGAACACCGCACGAGAACGCCGCACAGGAACGTCACACGGGAACGTCACACGAGAATGTCACACGAGAACGTCACACGGGAACGTCACACGAGAACGTCACACGAGAACGTCACACGAGAACGTCACACGGGAACGTCACACGAGAACGTCTCACAGGAACGTCACACGGGAACGTCACACGAGAACGTCACACGAGAACGTCACACGAGAACGTCACAAGAGAGCGTCACACGAGAACGTCACACGAGAACGTCACAC